TTAAGAACATTTGAGAGAAGATAATAAAAGTGAAAAAGTGATAATTTATGATAACGATGAAAATTTAAATTGACATTTACTTTTTATGTGTTTGTATGATGAGTATGATGTGCTGATAATTTTATTATAGTGAAGTGATTGAATTTATATACGATAATTATTCATATTTTTCGATTATATTATGATTTATTTGGTAATATGTACAAATTATGAAATGTGATTTTTTTTTTTCCATTTTTTTTTCATATTTGTATAACATTATACAAATTAATATACAAGTGTATTTGTATATTTTGAATCATTTATTCAGTGTATGTGTTACATAATAGGTATTCTAATATACAGGATTGAAGAGGCGATTTTTTTGTTAGTAATTTAACTATATTAGTAGTTTAGCTTTTGCGGGTCCTAGTATGAAGTATGGGATTCATGAGCCAATGACGCGTATGTTGTGCGAAATTAACTTGTATTCGTCAATTTTTTGTATTACTATAAGTGCGGACGGTACTTAATGCCTGACTCTATAAAGTGGCATTGATTCATTCAAATCAATTTGGGATGAAATTTTTACTAAGATTTTGTTAAAGCTTAAATTATTTTAAAATTTCCAATAGAATAAATGCAATATTAAATGATTCATTATTCATTTAATGCAATAAAAATTTTTTTTTATTAGAAATCAGTTTCGCAGTATATAACAATAGTTATATAATTTTAATTTACATAAATATATATATGAAGTGGTGTAACAATAACAATATTTCAATGTAGAAACTATATTTTCTTTTCAAGACGTATCAATTTAAAAGATTCCTGAATATGTTAAAAAGGATAACAAGGAATGAAGAAAACAAGTTAAAAAATAAGAAGAACTTTTTAAAAGTGTCATTTATATTAAAAGATTTTATGCTTATATACACGTATTTGGAAAGTAGAAGTTTCTTCAGTATAATTTTTTTTTTGTTTTAAATTCGATTGCGGTCATAGTCTGATGAATACTTTTAGGTTTATTATATTAAAAGAACTCACTTATTACTTATTGAAATTTTGTGGCAATTTTACAAAAAATAAAAAGAAGAAGAAAATTTAATTAATTATTTTAAGTTTTGAAGGAAAATATGTGAAAATGTTAAGTATTCTTATTGTAAGAGAATTTTAATTATTTTCTTAAAAATTTATTGGTAATTTTTAAGTTATTTAAAAAGAAAAACAATTAATTTAATAAATTTTGTTTTGAAATTCTGTATTCTATTTTTATGTGTAGTTGTGTAATTTTATATAAATTTTTTTAAATTTAAATTACTTTAAGGGCTTGAGAATTACGTATACAGAATTAGTTTTTGGGATTTCTATTAATATTAAATAATTAAAATAATTATTAATTAAATTTAATTAATTAGATATCTAACATAATTATTTTGCTAATACATATTAATCATTGTAGAAATTAATGAACGAAGGTATTTTATGCGTGGTTTGAGAAGATGTTTGTAAATTATCATTAAAATATGAACAGCATATTTCTTTGAACACTTACATGTACATTGATGTAATGTAGATGGCTATTATTCATGTCAAGAGTTCTTATATTTTACAACTTCCCGAAAATTTTGTAGAAATTACAATCAGGCAAGGATCCAAAATATAATACTAAATAAATTTACGTATAGTTTTCACAACGAAATCTAATAAGAAAATGTTTTAATAATCTTTAATATACTTTTTGGAAATATTCAAGAATTCTCTAATTAACATAGGAATATATGTATATGCATATATAAAAAATAGCAACCATTTTATTATTGTTCATGCTAAATTGGCATAAAGTTCGCCTCTACTGAAATTACTATGGGAATAGAATTTTTCTTTTTGCTTTTATTCTGTACTATTTTATTAGACCGCACATCGCAAAAATTCTAAATTGGTATACGTATATAAAACTATAATCTCTTTTAATATAATGTTTCTATATAATAATTAAATTTTAATATAAGAATTTAAAAGAAAATAATTACAACGAAAAACGATAATTATTTTCCATTTCTCCGTTTTTTTAGTCGAATTCGCAATTTTCGTATTCATTTTTTGTTATTTTGTAAAAAGTAGTGATTAAGCAAAATTATAATTTTTTTTTTTATACGAAAAATTTTTGTAAACTCTGAATGCTATAACACAGGGTGAAAAAGAGATGAAAATAAAAATTCCAGATATAAAATCAAGAAAATAATTTTTTTTTTGTTGTTTTCATGTTTTTTTTTTTTCATTAAAAATTTTCACTCATTAAATTATCTCTCTAAAAAATTCAAATGAAAAATTTTCACTTGAAATGGTAGACGCAATTAAATTCTGTCATTAACAGAATTAAGAGAGTTGAAAGTAATTACCGGCATAAAACCGCATTGCATATTTAGTTTGCATGCCTAGTGTTGTACCGTATTTTTGTTGTCATAGACACATCATCATCGTCATCGTCATCAGTATTATTATTATTATAAAAATGGTTATTACTCTAGGAAATGAAAGAGAATAGTATAGTTATATGTACATATAAGTAAGTACTTACATTCTATGCTAGAAAAAAACGTATATGAATGAAATAAAATCAAAATTAAATTTTTTTTTTATAATATTTGAATAAATGCAGTATAACTGTTTATAAAATCTATTTTATAACAGATTTACGTTGCTTTGTTATTTACTATATAGATAGTAAAATAGTAGCTTTTATTTTTCTTCGAGATTTTTATAGTTTAAAAAATTATCCTTAATGCTATTTTTTCTCAATTTCAGATATTCTGTATGATTATTTACAGACTACAATAATTAAAAATAAAAAGAAAATTTCATATTGTAATTTTTTTTTTTTACCAACATGGCAACCAATATTTATTTCCGTTTTTTAAATGAAGTAATTTAAAATATTTCCTGATGAAGATTATTAGATATAAAAGAACAACAAATTATTTCCTCATATACAACCAAATATTTCATAAATTTTCAATAAAGGACACGGTAATTAAATTAAAAGTTGAAATATGCATACGTTATGGGATAGCAAATAAGTCAAGAAAGTATTTTTGCTAAATGAAAAATGAATAAGAACTAACCGGTTTCGTACTGGCGATGATATCACAGTAAGATAAATGGCCCACGGCAGTCGTAAAGCTTTTATTGAGAAAGACCCCGTTTTCGGGATAGCCATTTTGAACGTCTACCTCCTGCGGTATGGCTTCTTCTTGGTTCAGTTTTTAAGATTGGGTGTGGACTTGGTCGTGTACGGAGTGCTGTGGGAAAGCCGTATGTTTCAAACTGAAATATATCCAATAGAGATCTGCCTGAGAGTGAACTTGGAAAAGGATAAAAAAATCGCATCACCTATACGCACCACCCCTCAGATAGCAGAGCAGTATTGTCGGCATTCCAATCAGCTTTTATCACAACCAAGCATGTTTTGGTGAAGTGCCTGAGCTGGCGTCAACAGACAGAATAAGGCTTATTTGTGTGACAGGGGTACAATAACAATGTGATTGCAGACGAGTTGACATGGAGGGAATTTGAGGTCTCTTTCGTTTGTCTTGCATAAACTGGTTAAATAGGACTCCATTTTGTCTAGATTCTGCCGGAACGATAAGAAGTCTCTGTGACTGTCCTGCTCTGGTTGTCAAGAGGCGCGTGTCACAGGTGCCAGATCAGCGCCTCTATTACAAAACCAAATACGAAATCATCACATTTTGGGCGTAACCCTTGTCTTTGATTATTGTTCTTCAGCCTATTCCGCGTGTGTTTTTTTCGTGACTCTTCACAAGATTGTTTTGGTTAAGTTCATTTGTTTGTACTCACATCATTTACGACCGGTACGAAAAAAATTCAGTTTTTTTTTTTTTTAAAATTCATAAGTATTGTACCTACAGATAATTTTATTTTAATAATTGAATGGAACACTTTCAAGTATCAAATGTATTGTAATTGAAGTTTAAGAGTGTAGTATTCTAGTGAACTGGATTATATGATAATTTCGAATAAAATTTAATAGAGTCTACTGTGCAACAAATGAATCAGAAAAAAAAATTATAATTTCGTAATTAGTAATAGGTACATACCTAAATATTCATGTCAGCCGTATCAGCCATAAAAATTTTTCTTTGCGGCACGCTCTTGATATTTTCATTAATGCTGGGAATTTCCATATATAATTATAAATTTAAAGCTTTGAACACTTTGGGTAATATAATATATAGTTAGTTTATTAATTTAGTTATAATGAAAATTTTTTCAAAATGATTTCTTATTAAATATTATTTAAAATCAATTGAAATTCGCAATAAATTTAAAATTATCTTTACAATTTTTATTACTGTCATAATCTATGTGGAATTTATGTCGTGGTTTATCTCATTTTAATAATTATCTTATCTGTAACGTTTATTGTATCGCGAGGTAGCTATATTTAGAGATACTTTAAGAACATATTCTAATTTGTTTTTTTAGTTAATGAATGTAATTTGAATAACCAGTTTCCACAAAGGTTAATATACTTTTATTTAAGGGATATATTGCTAGCAAAATATTAAAATTCCAATATTAAATTTTAATTTATAGAATTTGTAATATTTTTACATAATATAATTATTAAGTTTAACAATTTCATACAATTTTTCCATTATATTGTATTATTTTGCTTGTAAAGGTAGTTGTACTGATATAATATGTCTTAAATCATCTGATTTTTGCAAAATCAATAGAAGATAAAGAATTTTAATATAATAATATTTAATAACCTTAAAAAATAGTACATATAAACTTGAAGAGGTTTATTATACTACTGTTTTTTATGAGAAGTGATTTATGACCCTTCTATTTCTTTTGAAGATTATAATTGAGCTATTGAGCTATAATTGTCATTGTAATAAAATTATTGTTTTTATTTTTTAAAAAAGTAACTTTTATAAGCTTCTGTATCGTATTCTATAAAATTCAATGCAAAACCCTAATGAAGTTCTAGTTAAATTTCATATTTAACAAAGTAATGGTCACAATGAAATCGTTTTTAACAACGTGTGTGGTATTATTAATAATTTCAAATAATTTTGTTGATTGTATATCAAAAAGAAATATATTAGAAGATGATCAAGAGCTTGAACACGATCCAGATGCATTTTTGCTTGTGGTAAGACATAAATATTTTACTAGTCATTAATTAAAATGTTGCTGACTGTACTCTTATCACAAGCCTAATAAATAAAATATGTCTACGAATTTAATTTTATCCAATTGCGAATGTAGTAGTAAAAACCGTGAAAACCATAAATGTAGTTAAAACCATGAAAAGTGAGGAGAAATTTTATTAATTTATTTGAAGAAATTGTTTTCAAATCTGAAAATTTGTAACCGAATTTGTTATATAAACTTTGAATTTGCTCGCAATTCTTAAAAAATAGTAGTTACTAAGTCATAAATTTCATAATTGTTATTATATTTTTAAATAATGAAATTTTTTAAGCCGGAAATAATTGAAAAATATGGATATCCAGTTGAAAGGCATAATATTACTACAGAGGATGGATTTATTTTACAAGTTCATCGAATACCAAGGCCTGGAGCAATTCCTGTATTTTTACAACATGGACTTTTAGCATCTTCTGCTGAATGGATTGTTATGGGACCTGAAAAAGGTTTAGGTAAAGGCTTTTTATTTCTTAATCACATAAATTTTTGATTCTCTCATTATAAAATTTAGAAGTCTTATAATTTCCTATTGTGTATTTTTAGGTTATTATCTATATCAATTAGGATATGATGTTTGGATGGGAAATATGAGAGGAAATCGTTATTCTAGGAATCATATAAAATTTAATGCAAATGATAAAGAATTTTGGGATTTCTCATTTCATGAACTTGGTTATTATGATTTACCAGCTATGATTGATCATATAATTAAAGTGACGGAACATAAAAGAATTCATTATATTGGACATTCTCAGGGTACAACAAGTTTTTGGGCAATGTGTGCATTACGTGCAGAATATTGTGACAAAATAATTGGTATGCAAGCATTAGCACCAGTTGCATATTTAGATAACGCAAAATGTCCATTAATTGTTGCTTTGGCACCATTAACAAATAGTATAGAGGTAATTTAATAATTTGTTAACCGCGTTTTCTTGCCATATACTAATTTTAACATATTAAAATATTAAATTGATCAAATTTTTTTTTTTTGTTAAAAATAGACAATAACCAAATTATTAGGAAAATATGAATTTTTACCTAATAATGAATTAATGGCATTAGCAGGACAAGCTTTATGTAAAGATCAAGCTATAACACAAGTAATGTGCACAAATATTGTATTTTTAATTGCTGGTTATGATTCCGATCAATTAAATAAGGTACATTTAAAATTAAATTTTAATTTCGAATTAAAATAATTTTACAATAATTAAAAAAATATTAAACTTTTTAGTCATCATTACCTGTATTTTTGGGACATTTTCCAGCTGGAGCATCAAGTAAACAGCTTATACATTTTGGACAAATAAGAAAACAAGGAAAATATCAATTATATGATTATGGTTTTATTGGTAATCTATTAAAATATAAATCGATAAAGCCACCATTATATGATTTAAATAAGGTAACTGCTCCAGTTGTATTACATTATTCACAAAATGATTGGTTAGCTGATTCATTGGATGTACTTAGATTAAAAGATGAATTACCAAATGTTATTAGAACTCATATTGTAGCAAATCCAAAATTTAATCATTTAGATTTTCTAACAGCAATTGATATTAAAAAATTGCTTTATGATGATGTAGTGAATATGTTAAAAGAATTTGAACAATTACGAATGAAATAAACTGACTGATTTTAAACTATAAATGAAAAATAATTTTTAATAACCGAAAATGTTTTCTGAGTGCCAAATATTTTTTGGTTAATTTTAGTGATATATTGTAGATTATTATTAATCATAGGTGTAATGTCTATACCTATAAAATAATTTATGATAATTAAACCAGCTCAGGAGGAGTACACAATACACAAATACACAAAATACACAAATAACTCTAATAATAATGATAAAAATATATAAAATTGCCAATTATGGAAAATAAATAACTATGAGAAATAATAAAACTTTCGGAATTTTCTAAGTGCCAAACATACTTTCATTAGAAGGGCCTATATAAATATCTATATAGATTATCATTTATTATTAAAATTGTAATTGTTATGATATTGAAAAGGAAAGGCGATTAGATTTATGCCGAATTTAAACTACTTAAATTTTAAAAAGTTTTAAGTTATAGTCTGAATTTTTTTGTAAAATTAGAATTAATTATAGTCTACATATTTAATATATTTAAGTCACTTCACCTTCGCACTTTGAACATATATTATTTAAACTTTTATACTATTATTTTTATAGAGATATTAATATTGCTTATGTTTTGGTTAATTAAATTATCAAAAGTTAATTATTAAATGTCATAAAATAGACTGAGAGTATTATAAATTTCTAAGAAGTGTTAGAATAATATAATTATATGATTGACACTACATAGTAGTTGTTGAAAATTCAATAAAATAATTAAGGGTTAAATTATAGTAGAAAGAATTAATAAAATTGGACGTGCGACTGTAAAATTTAAAGTACATTTAATCATTAATTAAATTTATAGCTTTACTACGTGTAGCATTTATTTTTTTTTTGAAGAAGGTCTTGTTACATAGTCAAATTATAAAATTAATTGAATTAGAATTATAGATTTATTTTGCTATATTACAATATTCAGTATACAGGAATCTTTAGGTTTTATATTGTATTTCATATCACACGGCTGACTAAAAGCAACGGATGTCAATAAAATTGGGTGTACAATTGAAAAAGTCATGTTAAATGTTTAGTGTTGTTGTGATTTTTATATTTTTATTTATGTTTGTGTATTTTTCGTTCAATGCTCTTTATTTTTTTTTTGTTAGTTTTGAGGTAACTGCTGTTTATATTGGCATTTTGTTATTAATTTGGACGCGGTATCCATTTTTATTTTGACATTTATTATGATTAAACAGTTTGAATTATATGACTACTTTTATCCCTATTATTTAGTGCTCTTCCTCTCTTTTTTTGTGTTTATAGAAAAGAGGATGTAAAGTATATTGGTTTCGTTTAGGACATTGAACAAAACTTGTATACAATTTGTTATTCCTAAACCTATATGCAAACAAAGCCTATTCAATTTAAAAGCCATATTCAATTGTGCTATTAGGTCAATATTATATTTCGATGTCAATCGATATTATCTACGCTACTTACGTATTTTATAATGTTACACTTGATATAATTTTGAAATTTGTTAATTATTTTTCAATCAACAATGAATTAAATTATCTGTTAAAGAAATCTCTAAAAAATTTACGTTATTTCGTATTTGAAGTTCCGATTTATATCAATTTTTTTTTTTTTACCAATCAGGTAATCCTATACATTAAAATTTTTTTTGTTTTATTGTTTATATTTATTTAAAAGTAAAAGTACCCACTTGAAATGGATCGGTCATTTACGTTATACGTCGTCATAAGAATTGTTCTAGAACCAAGTAGGTTAATATACAAAATTTATTCGGTTTGATAATTAATCAATCAAATTATATTAAACTTCTTCTAAAATTATTTAGAAATTTATTATAATTATTCATATACATATGTATGTATGTAAGATTATTGAAAAAATCTTAACCACTATTTAAGCAAAATGTTTTCATTTTTCTTTTTAATTTTCTTATCTTTTATTTATTAAGATGGACGTATATAGAGATAAGCTCACGTTTTAATACGAGTGCAATCGAATATTATAGTACCGAGAGTTCCAACATTATTAATGGATTAATCAGTTAATCAACCACAAAATATAGTAGGTATACACATATGAAAAAGAAAATTTATTAAAAATTAATACTATGCTATAAATTTTTTTTTTAAATTACGCCAGGTGGTGATAATATTTGCGTGAATTTAATTGCAATAATATACGAAAATAGGTTTAATTGTACTTAAAATAGAAAAAAAAAGTTATTATAATTATTAACTTTGTGACAAAACGTTTATAACGAGAATAATAACATTTCGTTCCTTACATAGTTGGTGTGTTCATGTTAAATTTCACATTACTCCGGAATAATTGGATGTCGTTTGTAGATGTAAAATATGTAGGACTTGTTATAAAAACTAACCTATAAATTTAAATAATGAAAATTTTACATTTGCATTTTTGGGAATTTAGGATATGGGAATTACTCTTTTGAGTTTGACATTCACAGTTATTTTGTGTAAATTCTACCAGGCACAGATACTGATATTTTTATTTCGCTATTTCCAAGTTCACCCTGAGGTAGTGCCCTATTGTATATTTCGAGCCCATTAGGCTACCATATACCAGAACCAATTTGAAAAACTAGGCTACCCTGTCCCCACTTACATCGATCAGGAAACATTACTTCGAACCCACGATCGAACTATACTGCGGGATACAGACGCCCGAGTTGGCTGTACCGAAAATAGGATTGCTCTCGACGTCCTATGAGGCTCGTGGGTCAATTCTTTTCCTGCGACGTCATCACCTGTAAGAAGCCGGTATATTTTTAGTCGAGCTTCCAGAAGAATGTGGACGTGCAACGGCTTTAAATATGTCTCAAGAGCAACCGTGGAAGTTGTCCGTATTGCATATTGGTGTTACGTTCATAATTTATGTTGTTTTATTTTCTATATTAAATAAACATTTCGTTCATACATAATAATAATAATAATAATAATAATTAGTATTAAAAACAAAGTAATACTTAATTCTAAAAATTATTTAATATATTATCATAAGTATTACAAAATATGGACACATATTTTGTCAACAACAAACGACAATAAAGGTGTTATAAATGTGTTTGCTTTAATTATTTTTAATTGTAAATAATATTTAATTTCACAATATCTGTTGCAATTCTTTTGTATTTAACAGATATAAAATCATAATATTGAAAAGAGAAAAAAAATATGCAAAAGATATACAAATGGCTCAATTTCTGTAATAAAACAAAGACAGTAAATTGTGTAAACATCTGTTATTTGGTTTTTTTTTTGTAAAATTTAAATAAAATTAAATAAATTGCATTTAAGATTGATTAGAGAAACAGACTTTCCTTAATGACATTGTACTTTACTCAATCGTTAAGGTTTCCAATATCTTTCAAAAATTTAAGTTAAGTAAATGTGATTTTTACGTGGATTCTTAGCATAATATCTTTACGACTACGTTTACACAGTGGCCAACCAATAATAGATAATTTTACAAGAAATGATTTAGGTTATTGACACCGAAAGTAGTATGTAATAAAGTTGGGTCAAACCAATTTTTTGTATTGTAGCACTTTTCCCTTCAACAAGTGAAAATTCTGCTTTTGAAATACAGTCTATGTATACCTATCACTTTAAAAATTATTTTCATTCATATACGAAACTATTTCTGGGATTGCATATATTTAGGATGAACGATTTATGCAGTCTTTGAAATAAAGCAAAAATTAATAAAAAGTGGGTTTAACATAATGCTCGATTTTAAGGGTTAATTGTGTGAGTTAAGAAAAATAATTATATTTTTTAATGTCATGGAATTTACCGTTAGCTTTTTGCGTTTATAGAAATTTCAAAAAGCTTCCGGTTTCGGAAATATAAGGCGTCAAAAATTCAAATTTCACAAATTTCAAGATGCGATAACTTGACAGGGGGTGGAGATGGAAAAAAATTTTGTTCTACGTAAATAAGTTTCTAGTAAAAATCTATGTACATACAAAATTTCATGATTTCTATCTTCAAGGGTGTAGAAGTTTTGTAAACAGACACACGGACAGACGGACGGACAGACGGACGGACAGAGTGAAACTAATAAGCACTTTTTTTCAAAATTTTTTTGGGAAAGTGCTAAAAAGTATTGGTTTCCAGTTGGTTGGGAACTTTATGAAGCTGCCATACAAGGCATTAATTTTCATGTTACAACACTGTTCCAGTAAAACTGTGATAGTTTTAATTTGTGGTGAATTTTTGACATATCAACCTTCTAGACAATTGATATATCGTTTTGACTAAAAGATTTCATTTGCTTTTAAATTGAGTGTTATTTTAAATAATATTCTTAGAGTTGTAAAGTTCTTTACTTATAATATAATTATTTTTTGCGTATCATTTTATTATACGATCATAAACCAATTTGCTATATGTTTTTAAAAACAATTTTTTTCTAAATTGCGAACCAAAGTACTATTATGCCCTGAAAAATAAAATTGATTTGCTTGATAAATAAAATATTTTATTTCATAATTATTAATAATAATAATTTTGTGTTTTTCAAGCATGTACCATAATACATGCAATTTATTTCTTTTTCTATATAATAATTGCTATACAATATGAAAATTCCCCTAAGGTGTTTATTAGGGGTTTAGATTTTTTTAAAGAAATTTTATTGTTATTTTTTTTTTGGAAAATTTCATAGACGAATTTATTTTATAAGGAGTATAAAATTTTATGCTTCATTGTTGCTTCAGAGCTTTTTCTAGATTTATTATACTATTATAATTTCCAGCTACCATCTATCATTCCTATACGTCTACAATAGGGGTGAAATGTATATAAGGGGTGCTAAGTAGAAAAGCTATAGTTTGATATTTCTTAAAATTTATCAACGTTGGTGTTATATGGGTCCAATGAATGCCTTGTATAAGTATGGCTTACCTTTATAATTTTTCCATTTCTCACTTAAATTTTATAATTTTGAGCTGACCCAATGTTTTTTCGTTCAATCTTTGTGGAACGTCTGGTTTATTGAATTTATTATTTTTATTTTATTCTTTAATTATTTGTTATGCATGCTTGTTAATAAAATAATTTTTCAAATATATAAAACTCACCTTTCACCTTCGTTCTTTTATATAATGTACATATGATATTTTGTTCCTAAATATTTCTTAATTCAAATTCGAATTGAAATAAATAAGAAGGCAAACTAACAACATTTCTAAATTTAGATGTTATTGTCCAAAATGATTTTTGATTAATTGATTTCATTTAATAAACATTAACTAATTTAATCAAGGTTAATGAAAGAAGGCAAAGGTTATAAATTAGCAATATGTTCGGAAATTGTAAATTATTCAAATTTATTTCTTAGAAATTTATTAACTTAATTATTAAATCATTTATTTAAATCCTATACATATATTGATTTTTAGAAAGAAAAATAGAAATTATGTGGAAAAGTTTTAAACACACTTTGAAAAATTAAGATTAGATCTTGAAAATTTTAAGTATAGCTACACTTTATTTTTAAAACATAAGGACTTCAACTATAAAAAAATAAAGAAATGCTTCAAGTTTTAAACGATTATTTTGATTTAAAGATACATATATACAAGTGCAGATGAAATTGACGTAAGTGACATTTGGAAAACAATGTTTAACAAAATAATAAAGATTTGCGAATTTGATAATTATTTTGTTAATAGCACATTTTAATTCAATAGAAATTTTTTCACAATAAAAAACTTTTTATAATCTTTGAAAATTTTGCAACTAGATAAATTTCAAAATTTTTAATAACGTATACTGCCCTTCATAAGACTAGAGAATCAGAGAATTTCACAAAGACAAGTTGTAAAATTAAAAAAGAACTTATTGGTGATTAAAACTGTCAAATATCAGAATACTTTTTGAATATTTTTAATTCGCTTAAAATTTTTTACAAGTATGAATTTTTTCATTTAAATACCAACCCGTTCAGTGTGCCTCTTGATAATCTATTTGAAGAGGATGAGAATGTCAGGAAACTGAAAATTTGCCATCTCGGTCTAGAAGAGGACGAAAACGTAAAGCACTTGTTACGTGAGTACGTGGTGGTAGCTCGAATGCGATTGTTATGCTTCGGAATGGATTGTATGACTCCGATGGAAGTTTCGCGTTTTGAGCTAGCTACATTACTGCAATTTGTCAGAGGCTTAGATATACTTAGTACTTAAGCTCAGATTTTTTTTAAAGTATTTTGAATTTTGTATTATTAACTATGATGGCTTTCAATAGTGTGTTTATTTATTTTTGTACACTGATAATGTAACGGATATATTTTTCTTAGATAAAAATGTAAACTTCAAATTTTTATAAATGAAAAAGAAAACAAAGGCAACACTTAAGAATTTTCGAAATAATGCGTAATTTAAAAAATGCCGATTTAGTAAAGACTTATGGTATTAAAAGAATATTTATTCTACTGTTTGGAATCAGAAAATAATTAATCTTATATTTATATTAACTATCTATATTATCTAGATTTAATATTATCTTTTAATAAGGTTGTTTTAAAGCAAACTTACTAAATCTATTACTTGATTTTCGAAAATATCCGAATAATAAATTGAAAAATATTGTTTTATTCATTAAAGTTTTACGAAATTAATTCCGTATTGACATCATGTTTTTTAAAGTATATTTAGTTCCATTCATAATTTCGAAAACAAAAAAAAATTCTTATTGAAGCTCATCATATACACAACACATATATCTATATATACACAACACAGGTATATGTAAAATCTCAATTGTTTAACAATTTGAAAATATACTAATAAAAAATTTTAATAACAGTTAATCTCTAATTAGTGATAACTAATATCTCATATTGTTAAAATCTAAAGTTGATAAATTGATAATCACCTAAAGTATAAATACATACGATTATTGCGATTTTAAATTACTTACAAGTCGCGCCCCAACAAATTATAAAGTTAATTTATAAAAAAAAAAACTTATTCTAAATAATTATAATATTTCAATTTAATAAATATAATAAAAGAACATAAAATTAAAAACAGTGTTGTAGTTTAATTTGGGATTAAAATGAAATTTTTAAATTTGGCAACACTATGTGCTTTTATAGCATTTACATCAGCTTTACCAATTGATGAATATAGTTTAATGGTGGCACCTGATTTTGTAAGCCAAGAAAATGTTTCACTTGAATATATGCGTTTATTTGCACCAAGAACTGATCCAGGCATTATTATGGATGCATATTTAACTACACCGCAATTATTAAAAAAATATGGATACCCAGCAGAGACACATAAAGTTCAAACACCAGATGGATATATATTGGAAATGCATCGTATTCCTAGGCCAGGTGCCATTCCCGTATATTTACAACATGGAATTATGGATTCTTCTGGTGGTTGGGTTATTATGGGACCACATTCAGCTTTTGGTGAGTATTTTATATTACGGTTTATTATAGCCTTGACACATTTATAAATTAATATTAAACATAATAATTAATATTAAATTTTTTTATTTTAATTTTAAAATAGCTTATTTCCTCTATGAGCAAGGATATGATGTATGGATGGGAAATTGCCGTGGAAATCGTTATTCTCGTAGTCATACACATTTAAGTGTAGATAAAAAAGATTTTTGGGATTATTCATTCCATGAAATTGGAACATATGATTTACCAGCAATGATTGATCATGTTATCGAACAAACCGGTTATAAAAAAATTCAATATGTTGGTCATTCACAAGGAACAACTGCTTTTTGGGTAATGTGTGCTCAACGTCCTGGTTATTGTGATAAAGTAATAACAATGCAAGCTATGGCACCAATCGCTTATATGGAATATGTTAAAAGTCCTTTAATAAGAGCACTTGCACCATTAACAACAACAGCTGAAATTGTTGCAAAATTATTAGGGATGCATGAATTTTTACCAAATAATGATATAATGAGAATGGCTGGTGAATTTTTATGTAAAGATGAATCATTTACGCAAATTCTTTGTACAAATGTTATGTTCTTAGTAACTGGTTATAATTCAGAACAATTAAATACAACAATGTTACCAGCTATATTAGGACATGTACCAGCTGGTACATCAACAAAACAATTTATACATTATGGTCAATTAGTTAATTCTGGACGTTTTCGTATGTATGATTATGGTATGTTTAAGAATTTAGCAAAATATGGTACATTCAAACCACCATCATATGATTTATCAAAAGTAACAGCACCAGTTGCATTACATTTCTCAATGAATGATTGGTTAGCAGATACTAAAGATGTAGCAAAATTAGAAGATCAATTACCAAATATTATTAAACAATATCTAGTACCACAACCTAAATTTAATCATTTAGATTTTATATTAGCAATTGATAGCCGAAAATTGGTTCATACTGATGTATTAACAAGTATGAAAGATTATGAAAGAAAAGCTAAACTTGCTGGAATTTCATTTAAATAAGAATAACATAAATATAGTGCAGGTCTTTTCATTTGTTTTAAGATTTAACACTGTGATGATAGTTTAAAAATCAAAAATAATAAAAAAAAAATTAGAGATTTATAAAAAAGGCTAAAAGAAATTATTCTTACATATATGTATGTATGTATGTATGTATAAAACTGATTTATAATAATTCTATAATTATAAATTAACTGTGATTTATCTAAAATTATTACTAAAAACCTTTAAAAGGCAATATATAAATAGTTATAAATTAAATTAAATTTATTTTAATTGGCAATAAAAATAAAAATTTTTAAAAATTATAATGGCGTCCCTAAATTATTATAAAATTTTGATAAAATTAATTTATGTCTAATTCTACAATATTTTAACCTATTCTTAAAAATAGCTGATACGATTGTTATTAATTTTATAACACTTGTAATATGGAATGTAATGTACATACACTTGTAAAATAATCACTGATAATGTAAGGTGATGTAAGTAATTAATTTTATTTTTCCCCCACTGAATAGTATCTAATCTTGAAATAAACTTCTATATAGTTTATCAAAATATTTAAGATCAAAATTGATTAAATATTTTAATATATACACAAGTTCTAAGGTTAGTATATAATCTAAGTTTGATTGAATTAGCCTTGAAATTAGATTTCCTTTTTATGTAATTATTCTTACAAAAATGATTACAACTTAACCGAATTATTCGCCAAATATTTGAGACCTATATTAGCTTTATTGTGGTTTATTTACCCCCTATATATATTAATAATTAATGTAGAATAAAATAAAAATAGGTGTGATTTGTTTTGACTTGTTCTGTAAGTACTTTAGTGTATATCGACTATTTATGGTTAAAGTATTAAAAAAAATAAATTTTGATATTGTATTAAATCTAAAAATAATTATTTTACATCTACTCGTATGTACGTTTTGTACGCAATGTGAAATTTTTTATGTCGCAAAGTGAAACTATGGAAAATTTTTTTCCACGCATTATTGCCACAAAAAAAAAAGTCGCAAAGCGAAGTGTTATTGTATTGTTTAAAATAATATATGAGAATATATTTTTGATAAAATTATTAACAAAATCCATTGTATGACGATGAAATTAATATTATATAAAGAATAACATAACCTAATTACTTAAAATTGTCTGATTATTAAGATTTACTTCGTAACGAGCCGACTCTTTAATTTTTTGAAACTTCTCCTCTAAAGAATTGCAAATGCTCGAAGTCGTCACCACAGCCAGTACAGTACTCAACCTTTTGACATACAGCCATAATTCAACCTAGAGGATTTACTTGATTTATATACAGATTCCCTCTTAATTATTTAACTCTCATTGTTATTCGTAACAGAGTTCGAATTTAGTCTCACACTCTTTTTAGTAACGTGTTATATCAATTGTGTTAAACGTAACATCATTACTGAACTCTAAAATCAGCTAATAGAGAAATTTATATTATACTTATTAAATTATAATTGTACGGTGTTACAGTTATGGTAAAGAGAGAGAAAATAAAAATGAAAAAAAAGAGTAAAAGAATGAAAGATAAAATTAAAATATTTTCCAATTGTTTTTATGGCTCTATACACACTACAGTGATATTTTCTGGTTTGTTCATTTAAATAATTTTGCTATTTTACAGTTTTCTTTTTTTTTATTATATTTTTTTTTTATTAAAATAAAAATAAAAAAATTAATTTTTTTTTGTGAATTTTCACTTCACAACCAACTTTGTTTTTTGTATTTCATATTATTTTAATACAAGTATGGTTATACAGGAACCTTATTGCCATGTAATTATCCTTTATGAACTGAATTCCTGTTTATACAGCAAAAAATATGAAAAAAAAAATATTGTAATGGAAGTTTGTGTTGTAATGGTAAATATTTTGGTGTAAACTTTTACACAATAGAAAGAAGTATAGGAAATAACAGAAAATCAAAGTGAAAAACATAGTAGCGAGAAAAGTAGAAAGGGAAAGAGAGTTGAAGATGGTTAGCAACGGAGAAAATAGATGTACTATATTTTATTTTTCATATTGTTATGATTAACTTCATTATTTATATTCTGGTGAGTAATTGTAATATTATAGTTAGCTACTTAGTGTAAAAATAAATGGAACAGAAAAAATGAAATAAAAAAATATTTTTTTTTTTTTTAATAATAGAAAAATAAAAAAAAAAATGTGAACAATGGTGTTGACCTTTCAGTGTGTACCCCTTTATAGATGGTCGGCTTAAACTTCCTGATTTAATTCAATTTTTTTTTTCTTTTAATTTGCTGGCTACTATGCTTAGTTGAGTAGAAAAATTAAAATAAGTGGATGAATTGCCTATAAATAATGGTCAAAATTTTTATATTTAATTTTATTATTTTTAAATTATGTAAAATTTTATTTTGGATATTCATAATATGAAGGTATTTATTTTATATAAAAAAAAATTCAAAACCTTGTAACCAATAAGCAATATAAAATTTTGTTAAATTAATTATAGTTTTGGGATTTTATTCGACTAAATATTTTATGTTGTTGAGGAAATTGTGATATTAATATCTGATTTAAAATTTAAGGTGTTATCAATGTCATCGATGCAAATGAAAATTTCAATTTGCATAAATTTAGATTAGGTAAGATTTGGTTGACGCGGCTGGTTGTGCTATGGCCAGATGTCCCCTTTTCCCTTCTATTAGAACTGGCCCGAATTACTTTTTTTCTAAGTCCGTAGTTCACTAAAATAAATACGGCTCAAGAAATCTCCGTCTGGGGTTTAGCGTCGGATATAAGTACAGCAGGTGAGTTGCCGTTTTCATCCTCCAGTCATATTCGACAGTGAGAAAGTGTGCGATTAGAACCGCTATTATCGCCCCGTCTTCGGAGAGACATAAGATCTTGTTTTTGCGGTGCAAGTCTAGGTTTGACCACAACTTCTGTGTTGCGTTGCATGTTGTACGATTTGTGCATTAGCAACTTGTGAGTAATTAAAATTGTTCCCAGGTTCTCTTTGTCAGGAAGGATCACAAGGGCTCCTTCGGGAACCCATATCAAGTTTTATTCGAACTGCCACGCTATCTCGTTAGTAAACGACCTCCGGTCTAGAACTCATGTGGATGTAAAAGTCTCAGGCTCACCTCACAATCACAACTTCTTTTGCCTGAAAGACACCACAATTATCTGGCAAACGGAAGGAGTACTCAACATGAAAATGCTAAAAATAATCTCCACCACCTATCTTTTTATCAAGTTTGGTTCCATCCATGCAAAAATGGATGGATCTTTCCCCTTCCATCCATCTTCGTCCCGAAAGTTCTTCTCGAATGAGAGGACAGGATATTCTTTTCCCCCACCTTGTGCTCCTAGTTCGCAAAAATGGAAGCATGACCCAGGTGCCCCGCGATACATACAATTGTCATTCTTTCAATTTTGAGGGTCGCAGCTGTCGAGGTTCTTAGAATTTCAATCTCTTTTTTCTACACACAAATTACCAGTTCTATAATGTAGCTTTTAAAAAAAATATTTAAAGTAATCATTTTCTGGTACAAGGAGGTGAAAATATTGCATATCTTGAGGTAAACTACAAAAAATATTATACAAAAAATATTGCATACTTTAAGGTAAATTTTTTATTTCTCAAATTGTATTAAACGATTTGAATTCACATTTTCATGTTTTCATGTCTGAAATCTAATAATTTTCCTTATATGCTCTAAATTAATTAATTCGCAACTTTTGCAAATAACTTTTGTGTATTGTAAATCTTTTTCAAAATTTTCTTTTTAACTGACCAGACTTTTGTCAACTGAAATTTTCTATCAAAAAATACTGTTGAACTTATTATAATTTTCCTATTGATTAGATTTTATATGAGATCAGGATATCCTTTTTATATTCAATTAGATGCAAATTTATTTATTTTCCAATATATTCAATATATTTTTTATATATATACTTCATTCCTCATATATCAATGAGAGAGTAGTAGATAAAAAAGTTATTTGAAAAGTTGGTAACATATTGTTATCAAGATTACTTAGTGTAGTAACTGATATCTTCTTACATATTTCGTAGAATTAAGAAATTTTCAAGTTAAGTTTTCTAATAAATAATAATAAATTCATTTGAATGGAAAGAATTTTTTGAATATATGAGAGAATTACCAGTAAATGTAGAAAAGAATAACAAGTTCTTAAACATTTTTTACAGATGGTAGAAAAATTACCATTATTTTTTTTTTTTTTTGTAATTTGTAAAGTCTGAAAAGTTTTTTAAAAACTTTGAATAAAAATGTAACTTTGCAAATTTTGATTTTTTTTTTTGTCGAACCCTTAATAATCTAGAGAAGAGAAAGTTTAAACTAAATGAATTTCAATTAGATTAATTTCTAATTTAATAACGAAAAAAAAGTCAGAATAAAAATTAATTAAAGATTTTTTTTTGTTATGACTAGTTTAATTTTAATTTTTGTTTCTTTTTGCACATTTCATAATATTTTTTTTAGAATTAAATTTCCCTTGGTTTCATATTCCTTCATACTTTTTATAACACCATCATGAACTAAAGTACGACTATCAATAGCAAGTATAAAATCTAAATGATTAAATTTAGGTTGCGGTACTAAATATTCTTTTATAATATTTGGCAATTCATTTTGTAATTTTGCTACATCTTTTGTATCAGCTAACCAATCGTTCATTGAAAAATGTAATGCAACTGGTGCTGTAACTTTACTTAAATCATATGATGGTGGTTTAAATGTACCATATCTTGCTAAATTTTTAATTGTACCATAATCAAACATTCGAAAACGACCTTTTGCATTAACAATCTGTCCATAATGAATAAATTGTTTTGATGATGTTCCAGCTGGTACATGTCCTAGAATAGCTGGTAACATTGTTGTATTCAATTGTTCGGAATTGTAACCGCTTACTAAAAATATTATATTTGTACATAAAATTTGTGTAACAGCTTCATCATGACAAAGTACTTGTCCAGCTAATCTCATAATTTCTGTATTTGGTAAAAATTCATGCATTCCTAATAGTTTCATGAGAGTTTCAGCAAAATCTGTCATTGGTGCAATAGCTTTTATAAGTGGACTTTTAGTATGTTCCATATGAGCAATTGGTGCCATAGCTTGCATTGTTATAACTTTATCACAATAACCGGGTCGTAACATGCACATTACCCAAAATGCTGTTGTACCTTGTGAATGACCAACATAATGGATTTTCTTGAAACCACTGTTTTCGATAACATAATCAATCATTGTTGGTAAATCATTTGTTCCCATTTCATGGAATGTAAAATCCCAATATTCTTTACTTCTTAAACTTAAATGTGTATGATTTCTTGAATATCTTGTACCACGACAATTTCCCATCCAAACATCATATCCATGATCATACAGGTAATATGCTGCAAAAAAGGAGTGAATAATTAATATTCTTTTAGTGAAAAAAAAAAAACTTACAACTTTAATTTAAAAAAAATTTGCATAAATTTAGGATAAAAGGGAATGTTAAGTTTATTTTTAGTCAATAATAAAAACTAACATAATACTAACCAAAAGCTGAATGAGGACCCATAATAACCCAACCACCGGATGAATCCATAATACCGTGTTGCAAATAAACTGGAATAGCACCTGGTCGCGGTATACGATGCATTTCTAAAATATAACCATCAGCAGTTACCATATTATGAACTTCGGCTGGATATCCATATTTTTTTAATAATTGTGGAGTAGTTAAATATGCATCTTGTTTAATACTTGGATCAACATCATCAATTGGATCTACTGGAATCGGAATAGATAGCAATTGAACCGGTTTAAATACGGTGATTATTAATATTAAAAATATTGATATTAAAAATAAATTTCTCATTTTGAGTTTATGTTAATTTTCTTATAACTTATTAATACTGTAAACAAATTTGAACTTAATTAAAGTATTTACTTTCTTTTGATATTTATACCCCATCGAATAGCTACTGATATTTTTATAATAATAAAATGGTTTTATCACATTAATATTTTATCAATAATTCATTGCAGATTATAAATTTTATATTGGGTTTTATAAGTGCTTGTATGTACATTTTCAAAGTTCATTTGAAGTATTTATTATACTATAAATAATTTTCTATTGGAAAGCATTTAGAGTGGGCAGAGTTCCTGTTTCAATTGTTAAAGAAAAAAAAAAAATAAATTTTTATGAATTTGGCAAGCATAAGGGCAAGAAATTTTTTTTTTTGAAATTTTTGTTATCAAAAGCTATTATTGTCTTTATTATTACCACTTTTGTTATCACAATATTTTGTAACGATGATTGAACTTGAAAAAAAAAAATCATTTATTAATTTTTAATTGATGTTTAACACTTAAAACTTTCATACTTTCGGATAATTTGATTATTGTTTCCAGTTATTTCTAGTTATTTTAATTAGCAAAATAAAATATTGAAAAATTTGTTTAGCGTTTAAATTAGTACTTTTGCAGAAACTTTGCATTCTTTATGCTGTTAGAGTCACCAATATTAAAAACGAAGTGTCTCATCTTTACTTATGTACTAAACTGTTTTTGTTTTAAAGGTACCCAGACTTTTAAGTTTATTAAAATAATACTCTGAAAATTAGTTTAAATCTGGCAAGGTTATAACAATTTTTTAATTATTCTTAATACTACTAACTATACCTTAATTTTTTTAGCACTTTTCCAAAATATTTTTGAAAAAAAGTGCTTATTAGTTTCACTCTGTCCGTCCGTCCGTCCGACCGTCCGTCCGTCCGTTCGTCCGTTAATTTTTGCTCTATTTCAAATACTGCATAAATCAGTCATCCTAAATATATGCAATCCCAGAAATAGTTTTGTATATGAATGAAAATAATTTTAATAGTGTGATAGGTATACATAGACTGTATTTAAAAACAGAATTTCCACTTGTTGAAGGGAAAAGTACTACAATACAAGCCATTGGTTTGACCTAACTTTATTAATTATTGCGATCAAAATATGTAGCCACATAAAATTGTTGTTATTAATGACAATTTGATCAAAATTTAGAAATGACAAATACGGTGAACAATTCGTTCGTTTACAATTGATTACAATCGAAAAAAAAATAAATGACAATAACAAATGACAGCAATGTCATGGATTTAATTAACTGTTTTTATATCGACCATTGCACACAATAAGAAGGGAGGTTATGTGATGACACCAAATTTTACATATCGAGTGTTCGGTGGAAAAGCACATCTACATTGTAGAAAAGTGTAAAAATTATTTTTAGTGAGGTGTCTATTGGTCTGGTCTATCTGTCTGCTTGTTTTTCTGCCTTTGTGTCTATCAGTCTGTCTGTATAAATCAGTACTGATTGAAGTTCGCCTGAAGTGTTTTTCACGAAAATTTATTTCAAAAATAACTTTCAAAATGAGACGGTTTGATCAACTTTTGGAATATGTCAGATCTCTGCAACTGGATTTTTACTACGAGGCGATTTAATTTTTTTTTTAACAAATTAATAAGTGAATTTTGCTGGGATTTTATATATAAACCATACCTTGTAATGCAATAAGTCAACTTTCTGAGGAAATCGGATGCCAACAAGTGAATTTTTGCTACGGATCGAATTTATATTTTCTGTTATATAAAGAGCAACAATCTGCCAATTTACAATATTATATTTAAAATCTGATTATTAAAGCAATGAACCAATAATTATGAAATAAAACCTTGTCTTGTTGACAATTTTACATATTTGACAATGTGTCTGGAAAAAATTGAAAAATCGGTTTAACCGAATTTGAGATATTGCACAAATAGAGCGACAAACAGACAGGCAAATAGAAGGATAAATATACATATAATTTGGTGCCATCACATAACCTTCCTTGTTGTATGCATACGATGCGGTCGGTGATAATATTTGTAATTTTTCAATTGTTGATTCCATCAACAATGTAAATTAATTTTTTCGGAACTAATTCTCAATAAAAAATTATAGTGGTGACAAATTTTTTATCATGGACACTTTCAATTATCTCACATAAAAGCCAAATCATATTTCGTGTCAGTAAGTTTCTTCCCAAAAAACGTTTTCCAAAAACATACTGGCATGCTATTTTAATGGGAATGTTAATAGACCCAAAAATACGATAAAAATTTTCTTTTTAACATTCAAATTCAAAACCTCTCACATATTAAAATTTACTAATATCTTGTCCATTTCAAATTTTCTTCGATTTGATTTTAAATTGATAAAATCAACGTGAACTTATCATTGTAGTTATTCATTCCAAATGTAAAAGGCTTTCCGAATTAATATTTTTAATTATTAATTGCTCCAATTAAAACACTTGAGAAATTTCATTCGTCATTTTATTATGTCGTCGTGTTCAATTCTAAAGGGTATGGAAGTTTGATTTTGGCAGTGCTTGTATTTTTAAATTGTTATAAAAGATTACATAAATTTTATTAGTTAATTATATTAAAATTTTCAATATTCAAATATATTCTTGGAAGTGATTTGCGATAAGGTAAAAAAATATTATAGTTATAAAATTTATTTAGAGTCTGTTGAGATTTTAGATTGAATTTACAAAAAGTTATAGAGACTATACATTGAGAAAGAATAGCCACTCAATATTACATTATATTTATATATACATATACTGTTATTCACCTTACAATTGATTAGTAAGCAATTGGAATTTTAACCAAGTCTCAATTGATTGTCAAATTCTACACGAATTTAAAAAAAGTAAAATTGTTTTTATTTTTGGAAAATTTTTTATTACAAATATCGTTGCAATTTTAATGTTAAAGCGTAATCGAAATAGGATAAAATATAAGATTTTTTAAAATTAACATTAATCAATAATTTTTCGTTATGACTAATTTAGTTGCCACGTTTTGTTTCCAAAGTTTTAAATGTTTTTAATTTAAACTTAATTTGCTTTCATATTCCTTCATGCTTTTTATAACATCATCATAAACTAAAGTACGACTATCAATAGCAAGTATAAAATCCAAATGATTAAATTTCGGTTCTGGCACTAAATATTCTTTTATAATATTTGGCAATTCATTTTGTAATTTTGCTACATCTTTTGTATCAGCTAACCAATCATTCTTTGAAAAATGTAATGCAACAGGTGCTGTAACTTTACTTAAATCATATGATGGTGGTTTAAATGATCCATACTTAACCAAATTTTTGACTATACCATAATCATACATCCGAAAACGGCCTTTTGCATTAACAATCTGTCCATAATGGATAAATTGCTTTGATGATGTTCCAGCTGGTACATGTCCCAGTATAGCTGGTAACATAGTTGTATTCAATTGTTCTGAATTATAACCCATAACTAAAAATATTATATTTGTACATACAACTTGTGTAACAGCTTCATCATGACAAAGTACTTGTCCAGCTAATCTCATAATATGGCTGTTAGGCAAAAATTCATATATTCCTAGCAATTTTGTAACGCTTTCAGCAAAATCTGTCATTGGTGCAATAACTTTTATTAATGGACTTTGAGTATGTTCCATATGAGCGACAGGTGCCAAAGCTTGCATTGTTATAACTTTATCACAATAACCGGGTCGTAATATACACATAACAAAAAATGCTGTTGTACCTTGTGAATGACCAACATAATGAATTTTCTTGAAACCAGTGTTTTCGATAACATAATCAATCATTGTTGGTAAATCATTTGTTCCCATTTCATGGAATGTAAAATCCCAATATTCTTTACTTCTTAAACTTAAATGTGTATGATTTCTTGAATATCTTGTACCACGACAATTTCCCATCCAAACATCATATCCATGATCATACAGGTAATATGCTAAAAATATAGATACAGGTAAATGTAATTCTACATTTTAGTGGCTGAATAAAATTTTATAAAATTTAGTTTTAAAAATGTTGCATAAATTTAGGAATAAAAAATTGAGTACTTTTTTTTCAACTCAATATTTATTTTTTTTTTTAGATAACTATTACTAACCAAAAGCTGAATGAGGACCCATAATAACCCAACCGCCAGATGAATCCATAAGTCCATGCTGTAAATAAACTGGAATTGCTCCAGGTCGCGGTATACGATGCATTTCTAAAATATAACCATCAGCAGTTACCATACTATGAACCTCGGCAGGATATCCATATTTCTTCAATAATTCTGGGGTAGTTAGGTAAGCATCTTCCTTAATACTTGGGTCTATTTCATCAACTGTACCTTCTGATATTGGAATGGATAGCAGCTCAACTGGATGAAGCAGGCCGATTATTAATAAACTTGATATTAAAAATAAATTTCTCATTTTGAGTTTATGTTAATTTTCTTATAACTTATTAATACTGTAAACAAATTTGAACTTAATTAAGGTATTTACTTTCTTTTGATATTTATACCCCATCGAAATTTTTCATTTTCTTCTACAAATTTTTATCAATCATCCATAGATCATAAATTTAAAATTAATTATTATAAATACTTCTGCATTTGAATTCAAAGTTCATTTCAAATAATCTAATTAAAAATAATTAGAGTCGTACGAGTTCCTGTTTTAATAAACAAAAAGTTCATACGAATTTCCGAAGAAGAACGATAGCCAGGTGCTGCTTACTTTTGGAATGTTTGGTTATCAAAAGATTTTATGGTCGTAATTGTACTAATTTTTTTATCAAAATTTTATTTGTGATTGAATATTTAAAAGGAAAAAATTCATTCATTAATAATCATTTTTAATTGATGTTTAACACTTGAAAATTTTGTATATTTTCTAACAATTAAATTATTTTTTCCGGTTATCTCCAGTTTTTATTTTAATATTTTTACTATCACAATGGTAGTTAAAATACTTTTTCTTTTGAAACTTTAAACAAGCAAATATTTAGCTGGAATAATAGCCTTGAGTTTTTGGATAAAATGTAGGTAATTTGAGTATGTGGAAAAGAGTTAGTGGTAAACAGTATAAGCCAAGTGTGGACATGTTTGATATTCGGCAATACGTATTTCATATACAGTTTCGGCAAATAATCTCTTATTCGCATATTATTCTATGAATGTCGCGAAAAATTTCAGCTGCGATAAATTCACGTGGCCTACTAAAAAAAAATATTGAAGTGATGTCAAGTTTCACGTTATAGAGAACAATTGATTGTTTGAAATCAATTTTCTATAAAATTTGTGATTTCGATGACTGTGCTCCCCGTATTTCAGGGTTTGGATGAATTGATTTGAAATAAAAAAATTACAGGTGATCAGCACATAAACATTCGCTTTGTGCCATTCAAATTCTCTTAAAAGTTCGCCTGTTAGTTTCGGTAACAAGAAGAACTCAAATATTCCATCAATTAGTTCCATAGATATAGTAAAAAATGTTATAGTTAAAAAACATCCGGTTTCCCAGCCCTGATCTATCTGCAAAATTTATAAGTTCATTGTTTTAATTTCCAAATATAAATATTATATTATTACAATATAATATTATTTGAATATTTTTCTTTATATGCACAAAAATTTTAAAGTTACCGGCAAAAAGGTTCAGTACATGAGACCTGACACACCCTAAAAGCTTATCGATTTGTTACATAGTCGATATAAACTCACTTATAAAATTTCATTACAATTGGATTAGCTCAACTTGAGGCTCAAATCTGCACACATAGACAGACAGACGACAAGGTGATAAACAGATATACCAACATCTCTGTAAAACAGTTTATTTGCGCTTCAATATTATGGGGAAATGCATTCCTACCGAAAACTCGATGTCCAAAATTATATTGCCAACATGTAACCTCTTTGTCTCTTAATTATCTCTTTGCTGAAAATATTGCTGAATATCCATGCTAAAAATAAACTAGATCGCAGTTTTTGATGTATATCTCATATATTGAAGGAAGAGAGCACCAGCAATTACAAGGAAGTAGATAAATATAGAAAGGTAAATAATAACTAGTTGGCTTTTTGGCATAAACAGCATATAGACTTGAAATGAATTTTGTAATAATTTGGCATATTGCTCAAATAACTGTCGTGTGCTGAACTACGCAGTTCAAATTTAGCCTGAGAAAATTAAAAATTCAATTATAATTTTTCTTAAGTTCAAAAGTTTCCTTATAACAATTAATATTTTTTAGTAATTCATTCAAGTTTTTACCAGTTTGAATTGTACTAATAATTTTGGAGGCAATAAATTTTAATGGCATACTAAATAAAAATCTACGTGAGTTTTTCTTATCTTGTATAATTATTGAAAATAGTATTATCCATGCTTGAAGTGGTATTTGAATTGGTATATACACTAATAAATTATAATTAAAATATTTTGGAAATTTCTTTAATTATTTTTATTTATTTTTAGGTATTGCATTTTATTATAGCGTGCTTTTTAATTCAAAGGTTATTCGGAATTTAATTTTGGCTTTTGAGGAATGTGTAAAATTTATCACAAAATATTGTAAATATCTTTAATACTTTCAATGTCCGTTTAGATTCTAGGAACTTAGCTCATTTGTGAATATGTTTGTGAGGAAATCAATTGTGATCTTTGACTAATGTTAATACATTTTCTCTAATTTTTTCTGGAACAATATATAGAAAAAAATATAGATGAAATTGCTACTCCAGTCATAAGTATGAGCAAAATTTTAAAGTAAGAATTAGTAAAACAATCTTTTATGGGTAAAATAATACACGTACGTACCAAATATTTATTATTATTTTATTTATGTCAATTTATTTCTATAATACTATTATAGTTTAATATATATAAAATATTATATTTCTATAAATTAAATGCAACCCAAATTTTTCGAAATAAATTTTTTTTATGTGAATTGCAAAATGCTGCCAAAAATTTGGTTTTCTTCTTACTACTTTTTTTTATTTTTTATAAATTCAATAAAATATAGAATAAATAACCAATTTATTTTATTGAAATTTATTTAAATTTAAAATAATTCGATTATATAATAGTTTTTTACCATCAACAGCCCATACAAAATCTAAATGATTAAATTCTGGCATCGGTACAAGATATTTATCAATAACTTTTGGTAAACTATTTGCCAATTTTTCTACACCACATAAGGAAACTAACCAATCATTTGATGAATAATAAAGTGCAACAGGTACTTGAACCATATCTAAATTATAATCTGGTGGCATAAATTGTCCATAACGTTGTGAATTTGCCATAAAATCAAAATCATATTTACGAAAACTTCCTGTACGTATTAATTGACCAAAATGCATTAGTTGTTTTGTTGATGCACCAGATGGTGTATGACTTAACATGACGGGAAGCATTGTCTATTATACATAAGTATTATAAAAGTACAAATATTATAAATATTTTGTAAATAAAATTAAAAATAAAAAATTTAATAAAATTAATTTTAAATAGAAAATCACTGATGTGTAAGTAACACAAAAAAATCAAATCAATATATTTAGAATGCTTGTTAAATCATAATGTTTCTGATAACCCGATCCCAATTCTTCCCAACCTATATATGGCAGCGAAGGAAATCGGAATGATCGAGCGGCGAATCAAGATCGTTTTATCGGGGAAGGTTTCGCTTCTATCGATGCCTAGGGACGGCATGGTAAGGAGTGTAACTTCGAGAAAAATTTTGCTGAGCAACAGGAGGGACTGGTCAGGATGTTCAGTAGTATCACACGTCATCAGATGGTACACTGATGGGTCGAAAACCAATGCGGGTACGGATGCGAAGATGTTTGTGCCAAAAACCAAATTCTCCGAACCTATGAGTACTTTTCCGAGCGTATTTCAGGCCGAGGTGCACGCCATTGAATTGTGCGTGCACTTCAACCTGGAAAGGTAGTATCGGGGACAAGGGATAATGATTATGTCGGATAGCCGGGCTGCCATCGGAGCGTTGAACTCGTTTTCAGTATCCTACGCGAAAGTATGGAGCTGTCTTGAGAAGCTCAATGAATTTCGTAGGTGCAATCGGGTCACTTAATTTATATTCGCTTAGCTCTCACGGTGGCGGAGTTGCCGTCTTCCGAGTGGGTCTCACAAGTTGTTTAAGTTCATTAGAGGGGTGTGCTTGGAGCGTAAAAATCTTACCTTGTTTTATCTTACAAAAATCTTACCTTGTTTAATTGTTCTGAATTAAATCCAGCTATTAAGAATAAAATATTTGAACAAACTGAATTTGTTATAGCTTTTTCATGACAAATTGTTTGACTACTTTTAACTAAAAATTTTGTATTTGGTAAAAATTCATCAATACTAAGGAATTGTGTTGCACTCTAAAATAAAAAGAATTGAATAGAGAATTAGTTAAATAGAAATAAATATGATCAGGTTCTATTTAATTAAACATACCTTAAAGAAATCAAAGAACATCACTAATGTCCTTATAAATGGACTTCGAATTTCTGATATAAATGCTACTGGTGCTAAAGCATGCATTGATTTAATTTTTTTTGAATATTCTGGTTTTTCTGAACATAAAACCCAAAAAATTGTGGTGCCCTTTAAAAAGAAAAAAAGGAGAAGATAAAAATATAAAATTAAAATTTTTTTTTATCATTAATCAAAATGACATTTACGATTTTAATATTGATTGGTTATAGATATATTCTTTTTGCACAAACATGCAGGTAGACTTAATTTTTTTTTTTAGTTCTATTTTTAATGTGATTATGCACCTGTGAATGCCCCACATAATGAATTTTTTTTTCTCCGGTATTTTTTAAAATATAATCAATCATAGCTGGTAAATCATAAATTGCAATTTCATGAAATGAAAAATCCCAATATTCTTTATCATTGACATTTTTTGTTGTATGATTTTTAGAGTAACGATTACCACGTACATTACCCATCCAAACATCATAACCAAGATCTGATAGCATATACGCTGTAAAAGACCAAAAACAAAAAATATTTATTTCGTTTTTTCCTTTTTTATATTTGTAAGGATCAATTCTGTGATCCAAATTTAAATATAATATTGATTTTAGATAAATGCAATAACTGAACTGAATTAAATTTCTCTTATATCTCATAATTAATTTGCTTGATAAGCTTTGAAATTTTTTTTTAAAACTGGACATAAAATTTCATTCACATTTAGCAGCATTTTATGTATTTTGTGAAACGGAATATTGAAAATGAAATATTGTTATTCAAAAATCTTAAATTACTGAATTGACAATTCGAATGTCAAACATTAATAGTTTTGCCATAGAAGACAATTTTTGTAATTACAAAAGAGAACTATTTTTTTTTTTGAGGTGCGCTGTTTTACATTTAAAAAATAAATATCTAATAACGCCCCACAAAAAAAATTCAGCTAGTTGTATAATTACAAAAATTATAACACACTAAACTATATGCAGTGTAAGTATAATAAACTGTATAACACTATAAACTATATACACAATGATTCCACTTAATTTCAATTGGATGTTTACGAGCAATAATCTTAAAATTTAAAAATAAATATTATACAAAATAAGTGAATTGTGACCACCGAATATTAATGGGTGAATTATTTTTTTTTTTCTGTTATAATTTATATGCAATATAAATATGAATTAGATTTTTTTTTTTTTATATACCAAAACCATATTTTGGTCCCATTATAATCCATGTTGCTGATGTATCTAATATCCCATGCATTAATAAAATTGTTTTACCAGGTATTTTATTTTTAGATGGAATACGATGCATTTCTAATATATAACCATCTTCAGTTATAATTTTATGAATTTCATTTGTATAATTATATTTTGTTAAAAGTTCATTCTAAAAAAAAATAAGAAGAAAAAATAATTAAAATTTTATTTAAAAAAAAAAATTTTTAATAATTTTTTTTTTTGTTAATTTTACTAAACTGTAACAAGTTTTGCATCTTCTAATATATCTTTATCATTAGACATTGATTCAATATCATCTTCATCTTCATCTGAATCTGAATTATTATCATTTATTAATTTATCTAATTCAAAACTTTTCCAAAAATCTGGTACTGAACTTCTCCAAAAATCTGGAATTTTATTAACAGAATTTAAATTCCATGTTAATGGTGGTGGAAATGTTAATACTGTAGTAATTTTTATAAAAATTAATAATATTAAAATTAATAATTTTTTATTATAAAAATTCATCATTGAATATCAAATACAATATAATAATTGTTAACTGTTCTATGACTTATTTGTGACTAAAATAAAATCTAAAAATTTTATTCAGTTTATAAAGAGAAAAATCTTAGTTACGAGTATTTAATTATAAACAGAACCACATATATATGTATATATATACATAGAGTTAAATACCCTGATAGAATGTTCACCTAAAAACCAATATCTATCAAAATATAACAGTTTTTTTTTCGTATATCATTTCGGTTATCATTATTTTATATTGAGTCTTCTTTCAATTTAAATCCATTTTAAAAATTTTTTGTCTCACATTTTTCATTTGTAAAAAAAAAATTTATATATACGATAGATACGGCCCTCATTCCTCAAAAAAAACAATTTGAACACATATAAGAAATGTTATATGAAAAACAAAAAAAAAAAAACATGTTAGTTAAGTTAAAAAAGATTCTGCCTATACTTAAGCCAATATGCGCGATCACAATTTTTATAATCAGTTACTTACTGATTAGCAAGCCACCGGAATCTGTTTTAGGAAAACGCTAAAAACAAAAACAAATTTTCAAAAAAAAAAAAACAAAAAAACAACAGTAAATTGAATTTAGATTTGTTTTTATTTTTATTTTTCTTTCTTAAATTGATTCAGAGAATACGTTCTTATCAAAAATGAAATTGTTTACTATAAAAGACGATGACGATTATTTGACATTTCTTTTAACCCTTATTATACATATTATATGAAAAATGATAATTTGGAATGTGTTGATCACAGTTACCAGAATTTACATATATGTAGTTGCGTTGTAGTATATTGTTATGGCGCGGTAAATTTTCATAATAAAACAAAATTAATAGAAATGATTTTTGTAATTAATTATTTAATAATATTTAATTATTTAATATTATTATGTTAATTGAGTCGAATGCCGAATAGAATGTTACCATATTTAAATATATACAAAATAGTCTTAAACATAAATTTAGTTTAAGGATGTTTGATATCAGTATACTGGTGGAAGTGGTGACGGGGCATTATCTTATATGGAAAATGGCCAAGGGACTTGAAGTATCTACAACGAATATCTATCTGTTAGGGTATTCCGGAAGTAGAGGATGTGGAACATGTTCTTTGTGTCTATCTGTTTATAACGTGGAAAAGGAGGCGCATCCCTGGGGGAGGGAGGCTTTCTTTTGCAATGGCCTGAGGGACCTATTAGGGAAGTCTTTGAGATTTGCCAAGGAGGTTGATGGCTTTTTGGATTGTTATTATATAAGGGTAGTTGGGTGTTAATTTAATGGTTGGCCTACTGCAGTCTTCATTTGGCTAGATATGCAGGGTCTCTCTTTTTATCAGCATTACTAATACTAAAAGTTTAAGGATGACATCACAAATAATGATCACTAGATTTGAAATGAACTCATTTACACTTGAAATTCCAATTGTTATTATTTTAAATTCAATTAGAATAACTTTTGACTTTCAATTAATGTTTATTAAATAAAATTTTTTAAAACTTTTTTTAAATTAAATTGTAAAAATTTTGCAAATTCTTAAATTTTCTTTAAACTATACCTTACAATTGTTATTTGTTACGGATTAATTCCTTAAAAAATTTTTACTTATTTCATATTTTTCTTATAATCAAATGATAATTTGAAGAAACTTGAATGCGTATATATTTATATTGTCTGCATTATATTATTTTTGCTGTCACAATTACATAGAATAAGGGCGGTAGGTATTGTAATCGAATCAAGTTTCGCACATTTAGTTTTAAACAGAAGCATGAATTTAACTAATTTCACTGATATATTAAAACTTAAATTTTCTTATAATATCAATAAATTAAGAAATTTTCGAGAATATTTGCGAATTCTTCAACTGAATTTTTATTAAAGGACGATTTTGAAATTAATTTGCTAAAACCCATTTGTTAATCGACGATTATGAATGTCGCATAAAAAATTTAGGTAGTTCTGAATAAAATTTAGAAAAGGTTGTGCCAAAGAACTTTGGCATTATGACATTGGTACTATGATATTTTTTCCGTATCCCGAATGCCAACACTTTTTAGTCATATAGTGAAAGGCCGTCATGTCGAATACTGATGAAAAATTCACAAAACAGCCTACAAGGAATTTTTGAAAAACTACCATACAGTAACCCAACCAAAAGGTATTTAATAGCTCTACAATTTCTATGTGTGGAAATTTTAGGTAATCGGCTCCTCTCGGTTTCAGGCTCAAGAATTCTATGAAATATATGGTAGGAGTAATCGAATATGGTAATGTAAGCTGTTAATTTTCTTTTTTAAATTTTTAAATGTATTTTGTTCCTTTTTTTAGTTAACAAAGGCGGACTGCAAATTATTTATAAAAAAATTCCGCTCGATTATTATTGGCAGAACTATTAGAATTTGTTAATATATTCAAATGTACATTGCTGTCGGATTTAGTTATTTACTGCTCACATCACTTCAGTTTTTTTATGGTAATTTTCAAAAATAAAAAAAAAACGAAAGAGAGGAAATCGTCAAACTTTTTGCAAACTATTTATGGTTTTTAAGTATCGTTTCTTAATCTGTTGAAGAAAAAGTTGACAAAGTAAAAATGAAATAAGCAAAAAAAAACTAGAAAGAAGAAGAGAAAAATAAGTTTAAGATGAAAATTTTTTAAAAGAATATAAGAGTGTTTCAAAGTTTCAAATTTTCTTTGCTCAGTATATTGCAAAAAAATAAGGATATCATTTGAAGGAAATACTTTGAAAACTATAAGGATACAAAAACAATCACCCAGTAAAGGAACATTTCAAATTTTAAAACTTCTTAAGGCAAAATAAGTAAGTACAAAATTGATTTTGTTAGAAGTGTGAATTTTTCTTATTTTCTTTGTGTTTTTTTTTTTATTCTATAACATATTTTAATGAACCATTTTGAAAATTTTCAATTATTTTCAAAAATTTCATATAAAATGAATTACGAACATCAATAGCCCATATAAAATCCATATGATTAAAATTATTTGTATTTGAATTAGCTAAATATAAACCAAGTAAATTTTCACCTAAATTCTTATATAATAAACGAACATCTTCTTCGGCTGCAATATAATCATTAATACCATAATATAATATTACTGGTGCTTTAATATTACTTAAATTGTATATTAATGGTTGCGATTGCCCATAATATATTTGATTTAATTTCGTACCATAATCATAACATTGAAATTTTTTTTGTTCATAATTTTGAAAATAATGTTGTAATTGTTTAATTGAGCCACCAGCTGGTATATGATTGAAAATTACTGGTAACATTGTCTATAAAAGAGAAAAATTTTTACATTTTATTATTGAAATTTCAACGAAAATGCAAATAATAAATTATGAAATTAATCTGTTAAGTGTTAAAAAAATATTGCATATATTTAGGATGAACAGATTTAAAATATATGCAATGTAATAATATTAATGTTGAATAAATTCGTTGATCAAAATTATTTTTTCTTTATAATATTTCCAATATTTTTAAACATTATTGAATTAAAAAAATTTATAAATATCATAAGTACGTTGCTAAATTCTAAATAAAGTGAGATGCATAGGTTTTTTTTTTGAAATCTTCAAATGTTTGTAGAGAAAAATCACATAATGCAATTATATTTTGCGTTATCATAAAATATGCTTGTATAAAAAAGTGTTTTTGACTTGACAATATAAAACTCAATATAAAATTTTGAATTCTCTGAATTTAGAATTTAAAAGCAGTATGTATACCGTATTTTAAATGTGTAATATTAAAATATTTGCCAACATAGAATTTGAAGTAGTGTAAAGCAAATATTAATATACAAATTTCTTTGTGTTGCATGAATTTTATTTATTTTATTATTGATCAAACCTCATTAAATTGCTCTACATCTTTGCCTATTAATGTAAATATAAATTCCATACAAATCTTTTTATAAATAAAACGCTGAAAACATTTTGATTTTTCCATTAACCATCCTCGAGGCATAATTTCATTTACTGAATTTGATTTACTGGACTGCAAAGTATATAAAGAGAAAATATTTAAAAAAATATTTGTATATATATTAATCTTTTTACATATTTCACATTTATAACAAATATTATATACATAACATACCAACATACTTTAAATATACATACTTTTATATTAAATAAAAACGAATTGAATTCAAATAGAATTGAATAAAAAATAAATTATTTTTTTTTTTTATTGAAAATTATATACATTTATGTTTTTACACGTGAATACATACATATATACATATATGTACAATATTTAAATTTATAAAAAATACTATTTGATATCCTTTAAAATACCTACATATGTATGTATATGTAAGGATCCCTTTGAATTACTATACCAGGTTTAAAATGCTTAATTTGTCTGATATTTTGTAAAAGCAAATTGGTTTGTATATATATAATAGAAGTGATTTAATGAACTCTCCGTTTTATTTTGGATTATATAGGGGTTTGATTGTAAAATATATGTTTTTCGTAAATTATTGTACAGTACTAAAATGAAAATATTTGATTATTAAAAATAGTTTTTTTTTTTGAAAAGAAGGAAATATACAAAAAAATTTGTTATATTTATTCCGAAAAAAAATATCCCTTTGGGGGATATAACGGGATGATTTTAAAATTTTGCTCTCATTTTGCAATTTCAGACCGGTATCACTCTTAATATTAAATTGTCATAATATCGGATGAATTTTAATAACTCGAAATTCTAAATATTTTGGTCTGTTTATTTACTAGAGTAAAGAGAGTTAAGAGAGTTGAATAAAATAAAAACGAATCCCTTTTTTTGAACTTTTTGCAAATATTTGCTTTAATTTACAAAAATTTTGTTATTTTGACTATCATTGCTTTCATTTTTCATTTCCAAATTATGAAAAACGAATAACTTACATAATTTTGCTAAAATTTTGTTAAAACAAGCGCTTATACACGCTGTTATTGTTTAAAAATGAGAGAATTAATCGAAAATTATTATTTTTTTTTGCTCTTATTCTCTCAAATTTTAAAAGAAACGTAAACAAATGGAATTTTTTTAAAATATTATTTATAGACAAATATTTTTAAAAAATATTGTAGATATTTTTTTAAATATATATAAGTTACACATATAAGTATATTATGTATATAAATATAATGATTTATATAAGAGCCAATTAAAATTTGTTTACCTTTAAATAGTTTTTAATATTTTGTATAAATGGAGTTCTGATATGATGTATAAAAGTAATTGGAGCAAAAGCATTCATAAGTAGAATTTTTTCATTCATTTCTGGTCGCATTGCACACATAACAAAAAATGCTGTAGCACCCTTTTAATTTTAAATATACAAAAAAAAAAAAAAATGCATGAAATTAAAGAGAATGTAGTTAATAATATAATGTAATGGATTGAAAAGAAAATTTTGATTGGAGTAATAAATTACACAAAAAAAAAAAAAAAATAATAATAATGAAAAACAAATTGTAAAAAAAATTGAACTTTTGAATTACGATTATTAGCCGGCTAGGTAAAAGACTAATAATATTTACTTTTGTTACATAAAAATGAAGCATTTAATAATAGTGAAAGATAAGTCAATTTTAATTTTGAAAAATAAGTGAGTTTTTCTTCAACTATATCAAATTGTGTTAAAATTTTCTATTTACCTGAGAATGTCCAACAATATATAATTTTTGAATTTGTGTTATATTTTCAATATATTCAATAATTGCTGGTAAATCATAAATACCAATTTCATGCCAACTAAAATTCCAAAATTTTGAATCATTTGATTTCAATTTCTTATGTTTTCTTGAATATTTATTACCACGGGAATTACCCAACCAAACATCAAAATTTTTATCATATAATAAATATGCTATAAAAAATGAATTAAAACAATTATTATTAAATTTCTATTTAAAATTTATAATATTTAAATTTTACCTAAACTAATATTTGGTCCCATTAAAACAAATGCTGCCGACGAATCAAGTAATCCATGTAATAATAAAATTGTTTGTTTGCCAGGATTTGGAATTCTATGAATTGTTAAAATATAATCATCTTGAGTAGTTACAATATGGGTTTCAATCGGATAATTATATTTATGAATTAATTCTGGCTTAGAATATAATAATATTTATTATAATTTATAATAATATATTATATATATTAAAATAATTTTAACTTACAGTATCTAAATTAGCATCTTCTGAAATTCCATTTGATACACCTAATTCAATACCAAGTGGACGTTTTTTAAACCAATCCCATATAAAATTTTCATTTTTAATAATTTTTAATGAATAACAATAATTTGTTAAAATATTTAAAATAATTAAATTAAGTAATTTTATTAAAATTAACATTTTAAAATTTGTTTTATTTTTTTTTTCCACAAATTTATTTATTAGATGGTTATAGAGCAAAGGTTAAAATTATAACTGCGAGTGAAATTATAATTAGTAAAAGGTTGAGTGCAGAAATAATTATTAATTATTTTGTTGTTAAAGCAATTATAATTGTGTATACATAATATTATAGAGTTAGTAATTAAATAAACTATTAGACCATAAAAATTTTATATATTTTATTGTATATATAGTTTTTTTTCTTGTATATTGTATAGTTGAAAGGTGAATGCCGTAACATTGAAATTTTAATGTAATGGGATTTTAAAAATTTATTTATTTTTTTTTCTTAATATTCCAAAGGTGAAAAATAACTCGTTATGGTTCTCTTTTTTTTTTTTTGAGTATATTATGATTAAGATATGGTGTGATAATTAGCCAGTCTTATTGAAATATCTTTTAAGTAATTTTTAATTCAAGTAAAAAATATGAATAGTTCGTATCAAGCTTTATTCCAAAGTAATATATAATAATATGTTGTGGTGTAGCACAGAATACGTTCTTCTTTTTCTTTCTATGCATTACAGCCCCCTGTAAACCAAAGCTTTCGCACCGATTCTCTTCAATTCTTTTCGATTTTTCGTCAAAACGGTGTTATTAGTAACACCCATACTTCTTAAATCAGCCTCTACCATATCTAACTATTTACTTATTTGGTCGGCCCCTAGTTCTCCCCCACACTTACGATGTAAGAAAATCTTTTTTACAATATTATTGTTCGTCATGCGATTTAATTTTCGGCCCAGTCATTTAATTTTTTGCGATTACGATATTTTTATATTTTATAATGCTGTCCAAATCATCATTGAATCTAATTCTGTAACTGCCATCTTCAAATTAGAATGGTCCATATATTTTCTCAATATTTTTCTTTTTAATATAGATAGAAGTTTCAATTCTAACATTTTCATGTTCCGAACTTCACAGCCATATGTAAGAACAGGTCTTTTCAGGGTCTTATAAATCTTCAGTTTCACAGATGTTGATAATAGTTTCGATCGCATAAATTTAATGTGAGCAAAATAACATTTGCCGCATTTACTTTTTCTTTTATTGCAAGAGACTTCTACACATATATTTGAAAAATAAACGTCCAGATATTTAAATTGCGGTACTTTTTTGAAGGCGTATCCTGTAACCACCAGATTTTCCATATTTGTAGGTGTCCTAGTTTTAACAAAATACTTAGTTTTATCTTCATTTATAGTTAGACCAATATACCGCATAACTCAAAATTTACCGCACAGAATGCTGCATAACTCAAAAATTTTTAAAAGTATCAGAAGACACTGAAAAATGTTTATTTGTGTCATTGTGTAGACGCATAGGAAGAAATTTCATCACCGTTTTTTAACGATTGCATAGTAGTTGTTACATCAGCTTTTCTATGTAGAAATGTTGCTTATTCTGTTTCCATGTAAAAATGTTCTTATACTGTACTATACTGTATATAGCATAACTATGCATACATCATGATGTCTTATGTTCCTTATTGACTGAATATAGCGTATTGATGAATAGGAATCATGAAAATTATACATTTTTTTTACTAGAAATGCGTAATTTTACTAGAAATAAAATAAGGCGATCACATTTACCGCATCTGAATTAAATCTGAGAATATTGTAAAAAAAAACTTAAATTGACAATTTATATATTATATAAAAATCAATATTGTATTTGCGAATTATATAACTGAAAAAAAAAATATGCTTAATTAATTTTAGAATATAAGACATAAAATCTGACCTATAGGAACACTATACTAAACGTCTTAGTTATATCGCACTAAAATAACACCGTGAACTTAGATAATTCAATTGTTTTTATTCCATTGTCACCCAGAATTAGAAGTCCTTGAAAACGAACACATATACATACATAGATATTAAATATTTAAAAATATTTCCTATATATTAATTTTTCAAAAACACTAGCTGACGTTAATTTTCTTTTGATTGACGCAATATTGCGTAATTTTACTAGAAATAAAATAAGGCGATCACATTTACCGCATCTGAATTAAATCTGAGAATATTGTAAAAAAAAAAATTCCACTACAATATTATATTGCTGTCCTATACAATAAAAATTTTCGTAAAATCATCCGTTTATAAAATTAATAAAATTTTAAAATAAAATGAACGGTAATTAAAATATTATATTGCAATTTTTCTTTTTAATTTAAAATATCGTGTGTGTGTGTGTGGTATTTACATAACACATACCTATATACATATACATATGTTATTATTTTGTAAACAAAATCATGATTAGCCTCCCCCCAGTAGTTATTTGTGTATTTTTATTATACGTACGACAGTATTACCAACTTGATATAAATCACGTTGATAATTTTTTCGTTTGTATTATTATTAAAAAATTTTAAGTTACCCCCATTAGCTGTATACGTGTTATGTACATTACAAAGAAAACCGATAACATTATAAAATTTTAATACGCATTTTAATACAAATTTAATTATAATTGAATTGAATGGGGATTAGTACGATTGATACATCATGCCTAAACTATATACACATGTACATATATTTTTCTGATTTTAATAAATTGTTTATGAATTTCTTTTCTTTTCGCTTTATACTCTTGTTATTCTTATATTATACCCTTAATATAAATTTTGATAACATATTCATATAAGTGAAGAAAAACAGAATAATGAACTGAAATTATCGTTGTGATAACAATTATAAGATTAAGATTAGGAAATTTTTGCAACCTTTTGTTTTTATTTTTATTAAAACTTTAAATCCTTTATCCATAAACATTCTTAGTTCCATTATATTTTAAGATGTTACGTAAGTACAACAAAAATTGCAAAATTTTTATATATTTTTGGTATTTTTGAATGATTTCCATATAGTCTATGATCTAATGAAGTTAAATTTTTGGATTATTGTTAACTAAATCAAAAAAAAATTACCGCATTGCCCGTATGTAAGCAAGTGGTAGACAAATTATTCGAACATTGGCAAATCACCATCAGTAAGAGACGTCTTTACTTATTTGAGATCCAGTTAAAAATCTTGTACGGGCTACATAGGGATCCAGTCGAAAATCTTGTACGGGATATTATAGAGTATATTTAGAATCGATACAAGGCAGGACAACCCTATGCGGTGTTCTTCTACTACACGATTTCGGAAACGCCTGTTTTGAAAAACTCGTACGAACGTGTATTGCTATTTTAGCGCTAGAAAGAAAAGACATTGTTCATATATAACGTAATTATGTTTGTTTTCTACGTAAACAAAAAAAAAATCAATAAATTCAATTTTAGTGTACTTGAAAAATGTTAAGAAATTTTCAGATTTAAAATAATAAACCATATCAAAAATTTTACGCTCTAAATAATTAAACAGATTTTTAAAAAAAAACTTTTAGCACTACTTATTTTGCAAATCTTTTCAAAATTTTAATAAAAATTTTTAATAGCCGTATAATTTTTAAATTTTTATTTTGTTGTTGATTATTTTCACAACGCTTCTAAACGTTTTAGTAAAATAAGAATGTGTGGGTAAAGGTACACATACACACGTATATATATTAATGTATTTATATGTGGGTATAATTAAGTGAGTTAAGAAATTCGCAAGAATTCAAAAGAAAAAAAATTAAAATAAATAATTGGAGTAAAAAGAACAATGAAAAACAAATCGTAACTCTTATCAAAAGTAAAAAAATTAATAGAATTTTTTAAAAGGGACGGACAAAATATTAAAATTTTTAAATATTTTTAAATGTTCAATAAAAGCTCAATACCGGCGAAAAATTCTTCAAGAGTTTTACAGGTTTTCTTCCGGAACATTTTTAAGAAATTGATAATGCAAAAAACTTGCGTTGCCTCGAAATTTTATAAAGATTTTTCAAATTTGAAAAAAAACTTGGAGAAAACCATCATCTAATAAAATAATGCGGCTCATCACTTAAAAGTCTAAATAGAATTCTGCATTCTTTTCAGTCATGTTTGTGTTTGTCAGCCCATTTCTCTTTCGTCTGAACAATCTTCAAGAGTCGAAGTGTATAATTAGTTCGGATTTTTGATTTTTATTATCGCACGACGATAAGTAATTAATTAATGAATACAAAAGTGGTACGGAATCCAGCTCTGTCTTTTCGGGCACCATTAATTCGCATTCATATAGAGAGTATAGGCTATAGAAGAATGCAAAATAAATTCAATATTTTATTTACTATAATAAGTGATTCTTTTGTTTTTATTTCTCATTTATTTTTTATTACTAATATCAGTTTTTTCTTTATTACTTTTTGAAAAAATGATGAATTTCGTAAAAAAAGAAAAATTATACCAAAACACAAAATAAAATAATAAAAAAAAAAGCGAAAAACACTGAAGAATATACAAAAAAAAAACAATCAATTGAATTAATAACAAAAAACAAAACAATAAAAGTGCAAAAGAAAAGAAACACAAAATTTAAAAGAGAATAACACAGAACAGAAAAAAAAAAAACAAAATAACAAAAAAATTGAAAAAAATTATGCTTAATCAATTTTAGTCAACCCTTTACGCTTCAATGAAGTAGAATATGAAGAAATTCTGAATATATTAAGCGAAAATAAAAAAAAGAAAAATCGCGAAAATAAATTTCTAATCACTAACAAATCACCATTATCAAACAAAACAAGGGAAATAAAAAAAAAACTAACTAGAAAATTTAAAAAATTCATATTTTTAGTACCATAATACAATTTACCGTTGAATTAGAAAGACGTTACGCGTCGCGCTCAATATCACACAAAGCAAAATAATAATAAAAAAATCGTTTTACAAAAAAACATAACAAAAAAAACCAACAACTAAGCAAAATAATAAAATAAAATACTTAAAAAATAAAAAATAAATTGAAAAGAGAGAAGAAAAAAACATAAAACATCACATACCTTTTAAAAATTGAATACAAAATTTAAATCGTATTGCAATTTTTGTACTAAGCGTTGAAAAAAAAATTAAAAATTTTAAATTTATTCATAACGCATTCTTTGTATAGTTTACACTTTTATTCTTGAACATATCTACAAACATACATACCAATATATTGTATATAATCAAAAAACATAAGTAGAATTTTCAAATGTTTAATTTATACATTGTATATGGCAACATTAAAATATACAAATAGTATTTGAAGGTCGTTTTTACTAAATAAACGTGTATGATTCAATTATATATTTATATGTGCATACACAAATACATACATACATAACAAAAAAAATAGAGTACAGAATAAATTCATAATCATAATAAATATTTTTTTTTTATAATATTAATAATAATAATAATAATAAAGTGAATTTAATATAAGTAAAAAAAAAAAAACAAATATAAAAAAATAAAAAAATAATAAATTGAAAAATTGTTCAACCCGGATTTTAATCACATTGTCGCTTTACAATAACAAAACATCACAGAATACTTACAGCAACAACAACAATAACAACAATAAAAACATTTACAACAATAAAATTAAATTTTTTACCAGTGTATTTTTTTTTTTATTATAAAAAATAAAATTTGGGGGAGCAGAACTCTGCTGTCAAAAACAGAAAACATAATGTTTGTTCTGAGGGGTTCATTAAGGAATTTTAGCTTTTCATTTTCTTATCATATGTAAGTGTATTTAATGTAATGATACGATAATCTACAATTACAAAAACAAAAAATAAAAACAATAATAAAATGAAAAATTGAAATGAAAATGACGTAAAATTTGTATTTTTTTATTTCTGTTTTTATTTTTCTTGTTTTTATATTAGTAACAGTAAATATTGCACTTGTTTTTTTTTGTTTTTGTTATTTTTTGATTCACGTTTTTCTTGTTTTGATTTTATATTTGCTATGCAACTCATTTGGGTATTTTATTAATTATTAGAGAGAGCGCATACGTAAACAAAACGTATGACAAAAAAAAAAACGGTACGAGTGTAGAATGAGTGTAGACTTGTAGAGTTTATATTTTTGGCTGTGTAATAAAAATATCAAGATCATATTTTTCATATCAAATGTCGTTCACGTTTTTCTTTTTTATTTTTGTAATATTTTTAGAATCGCTCTTAAATGAACTCGCATTTATTTCAATGATTTCACTTTTTTTTTTATATTTGTTTTTGTTTTTCTAATATTTTAGTTATTTTATTATGAAGTTTTTTAAAAATTATGAATGCACTTGCGACAGGTAATTAATAGATAACATGTATAGGTAATAGTATAAATAAATTAGTTTAAATAGGTTTATAATTGGAATTTTAAAATTTTTACTTTCACGAAATTTGCAAAATTTTTACTTTCACGAAATTTGCAAAATTTTTTTTCGGTATAGTGATTATTTACACTATAATATTAAAGAACTGTTATTGTTAAAAATTTTGCATTTTAATGTGACTGGCGCAAATTGTGTGTATATTCTTTAATATAATAATTTTTATTGAAATTAAAATGAATTTAAAACTGTTTGAGTTCAATTGAGTTAAGCAAGCCACTGTGAATGTAGGTTTGTAGCGAAATACAAAAGACAATTTTGAACTACTTTCTTCGAATGACGCTGTTTTCTAATTAAGTTTCTGACGCCTTTAAAAAAATACTAGCTTGTTGTATAACTATAAAAAGTGCCTTTTGTATAGCACTATAAATTATATATACGCAATATGGTTAAACAGAATTGATTTTGGACAAATTTAAAAAACAGGAATTTATGACGTATACAGGGTGATTAAAAAAGATATACAACAACTGAGGACTTAAATTAAAATTTAAACAGCTGGTATTCAGAAAGCACATAAAATAAACAATCAAATAACATATTGAGTTTGAAGCCCGTACCTTTCTCGAAACGGAAATTTTAACACTACATTAATATCGTACATAATTAAATTTTCAAATTATTCGAAAAGATACGATCTAACAACGATAATAATAATTCTTATAATTAAAGTATGATAAATTTAATTAATTGCTATATTAATGTATATAATGAATATTTGCATTTTATATTCAACACAAAGTTCAAAGAATTATTTTATAAAAAAAAAAACTGAATGAAAAGTAAATATACTATATAAGAGAAAGAAAACACCATTCTTATTATAAATGAATAAAAATAAAAACAAGATCAAATATAAAAATAAATCGCATTTATAATAAGTATGTACAATATAACAACATGTAAATATATATACCTATACATATATATTTATTTATTCCTTTAAAATTAATAATCGATTATATACATAGATTAAATAAGATTCATACATTTAAATGAAAAATAATATAAAAAGCAAAAAGATATTTTGATCATATGTCAAAAATATAAAATGATTAATGATTAAGTCATCTGATCTTTTCTTTGGTAGTGTGCGTATGTCGATATATTTATACTTGATTTGTATAATATTACAAAGTATCAATATTAAAAAGAAAAATTTAAAGTATATGCATACATAATAATATTATTATGGTAATTTATTAAAATGGAATCTTTTCCAAGCTTCACTTAGATATTTAATACAAAAAACTTTTGAGAATCGAATTAATTTTATTCATGTTAATTAAATTTTAAATTTACCGCCAAAATCATATATAATTATGGAAATTTGTTCAAATAACTTTTAAATATTTTGTGCTTATTATTAGATTTAAAAAAAAAAATCAATTGAATTCAAGCAAATCTTAATTATTGATTGTAAGGACATTGATATGAAATGGTGTGTAACAGATTGTGTTCAATGTATTTGCAAAACTACATGTACAATAAATAAAATTTCTTGAAATTTTTTTCATATGTTAAGAAATTTCTTCTTAAATTTTTACAACTAATTAATTTTAATTTTTTGTTATTATAAAAATTTTTTTCAATTCTATAGGAATTTTTCACCATTCGGTTTAAAACAATTAACACAAAATGATCCACCAAAACCAGTTGATCCTAGTATCCATGAAGATGCTCAGTCCTCAGTTGTAAGTATATAATAATATTTTTTCTTTTTATAAATATTTCATTTATATGTCAAAATTTTAAATGTGTCGCCTTAAATAATTGCATGTTTGTGTGTATATATAAAAAATATAATTTCCAATTAATTAATAAATTACATTATATACATATATTTATATTATCGAAATATTATAAATAAAATTAATTCAAATTTTTAATTTTATTAAATTTTAGCCAAATTTAGTTAAAAAATATGGATATCCAGCTGAAATTCATAATGTTGTTACTGAAGATGGTTATATATTAGAATTACATCGTATACCAAGACCAAATGGTCAACCAGTTTTATTACAACATGGAATTTTAGATACATCAGCAGCATGGGTTCTAATGGGTCCAACAGCATCATTAGGTATATAAATATTATGAATTATATAATATTAATTTTAAGTATAACAATTTTAATAATCATATATATAATTATAAATACTGTTATAAATGCGTTCATGGCATACAATCAATTTGTTTTTAAAAAACTCACTTAATTTTCCCAATATTTATAATTTTTAAATATTCGTGCAAAATCATAATCATTGTATAAATTAATATAATTTATATCGGTCAATTATTTAAAAATCATATATTTTAATAAGAACGCAGTTCTAATTTTTATAATTTAATTGTTTTATAAGTATAGTTTTTAAAATTGCAAGTAATAAAATTTAATTTTTTTTTTTACGTTTCAAATAAATTCTTATCAAAATTTATAGTTTTTTGTTGTTGTTTATTATATTACGCATATTTATATATACATGTATATATAAAAATAATTTTTATTATTTAAATTTCGAGATTAAATTTTATAATTGATAACTAAAATCTTCTATACTCAACTAATATAACCTTCAATATTTTCAATACCCCCCATTATAAAAATAATTATAATTAAAGTATTATACGTTGTTCATTATTAGATAATTATTTAAAAACAATTTATTTTTATTTGAAACAAACATATTTTACGAGTACATACAATATAACTATCCTCCAAGGGCATTAGTTTCTAATCTTTTCAAACATTTAAAAATTTTTTTTTCCAAAATTTTACTATAAGTTGATTATTTTAATAAAAGTTAACTATTATCAAATCCCAAATTTTTTTTTTTCATATTTTTCAATTAATTTAAATTGCAAATTAATTTAAAAATATTTCGAAATTATATTGACCTAGTTCTGATTATTTTCATATCAGTTAAAAAACGCCATAAATCGTAATAAAAAAAAAAAAAACTTTGTTAATGATTGACAGCTCCTTAATACGTCAAAAATTTACTAATACAAAGCAAACAATCACTTTTTGTTTTAATACTCGCATTAGATTAGAGTTTATTATGGTGGTCAAATCATTCTATTATAAATAGGCGGTAATACTTAAATAAAATTTCATTTAACAATAGTATTCAATTATACAAAAAAATCTTTATCGATTCTAAATAAATTGAAAATAACTCAAATCTGTGCTCAATTACTACTGCACATAGATAGGGGTTATCAACTAGAATTATACTCTTATCAAAATTAATAACAAAAATATAAAAAACGTAATAGAAAACAAAAAAAAATTAATTACTCATTAGTTTAATTGATTTAAATAAAATATTTAAATGTAAGTAAAAAGTTAAAAAAAAATAATGAATTGCAAAAAACAAAACGAAAGAATGTAGAGAAAAAAATTTCAAAGGACAGCGTTGTCGTAATTCGTAATTGAACCAATTCTGAAAATGTCACAAAGGTCTTATAAATGATAACGGTCCCATTTGTGAATAAAATTAATATTTTATTTTTTTTTTTTTTTTTTTTTTTTGGGGAAGAAAATTTGTTTAGGTAATTAATTGAAGGTTATCATAAAATTTATGTTTAGTAAACTTGGCTAATACGGAAGTTTTGTTTTTTTTTGCAAAAACCAAGGGACGTGCAATGATTTTAAAGTTTTTGATTTGAAACCAATTTTTGTTGAGGAACACTTAATTTTTATGATTTGAATGTATAAACGGAACAACTAATTGCCGATATAAACGACATGTATGCTAAAACTATTAATTTATATATACATTTTATTCCGGCAGATGGCTCAATATATTTTATGCATACAAAATAAATTTCAAATTCTTCATTATTATGTTTAAATTTGTAGGTTAGTTTTTATTCTTGTATAATAAAAATTTCATACAAAACACAGTTCCATTCACAAATTGTCTTAAAGCACACTGCTGTTCAATGTTCTTAAGAAGAATGCTTGATGCTCTGTATTGAGTTTTTCATTAAATTTCTTATGAAAATTTATAAAATAATTCTAAAATAATTATAAATTTAACAAAATTTTCCATTTTATATTACAGGTTACATTCTTTATGACTTAGGATATGATGTATGGATGGGAAATTCACGTGGTAATCGCTATTCCAAGAATCACAAACATTTAAATGTATCAAGTAAAGAATTTTGGGATTTTTCATGGCATGAAATTGGAATTTATGATTTACCAGCAACAATCGATTACATATTAAATGTAACAAATTATGAAAAAATTCATTACATTGGACATTCTCAAGTAAGTTATCCAGTTGGGGCGCACATACATAGTTTAATTATATATAAATTATTAAAATTTTATCAATTAAATTTTATTTTCATTTTTAGGGAACAACAATTTTTTGGGTAATGGGATCAGAAAGACCTGAATATAATAATAAAATTTTATCTATGCAAGCTTTAGCTCCAATAGCTTATTTAAATAAAGTCAGAAGTCCTCTTATAGCTTTAGTTAATATATTAGGTACATTAGATGTAAGTATTACAAAAACGAAAAATTAATATAAAAATAATATTAAATTAAAAAAAAAAAAACAAAATCCTTTTAGACCGCTGCCAAAATTCTTGGAATTAAACAATTATTACCACATCACGAGTATGTGGTTCAGACTGGATTATATTTATGTCAAGATGTTGCTATTACCCATTCACTTTGCTCAAATTTAATATTTTTAATAGCTGGATTTAATCATGAAGAATGGAATACTGTAAGTAAATTTTAAATAAAATTTCAATTTTTTTTTTTGCAATTATATACATGCTTTTATCAGAGATTTTATTTAAATTTTAGAAAATGCTTCCAGCAATTATTGGTCATGTACCAGCTGGCTGTTCTGTTAAACAAGCAATTCATTTTGGGCAAATAAAACGTTCAAGTACATTTCGTCAATATGATTATGGAATGTATACAAATTGGAAAAAATATGGTTCAATAAAACCACCAAATTATAATTTAGATAAAATAACAGCTCCAGTATATTTTCATTATTCAGAAAATGATTGGTTAGCACATGTACATGATGTTGAAATACTTTATGAAAAATTAAATAATACAAAAGGGAAACATTTAGTATCACATTCAAAATTTAATCATTTAGATTTTCTTTGGGCAACAAATGTTAAATCTTTAGTTTATGAAAAAGTTATAGAATTCTTAAAGCATTCAGAATGTTAAAAGAAAAAAAAAAGCAAAAAATTTAACATATGTTGAAACTGAGGATAAAAGTATTTACATGGATACACAATAAATATCATAAACCTAATTATTAAAATTAGGTAATGAAACTTTCAATTCAGATTTTAGACAAGAAAATCTAGAAAATATTATTATATTTGAACCTAAAATGGAGAATTTTATCTTAGGGTACAAGAAAATTTTAATTTAATATTAAAATATTATATATATAGTTAATTATTAGGTATTACAATAATAAATTTACTTTTATGTCACTGTAGCAATATTGTGTCATTTAACCTTAAAATTTAAGATGAAAACTTTAATTAAACTATGATGTAAAATCAAGGGTTTCAATATTGTAATACTAAAATTTTATTGTTAAAATATAACAATCAAAAACACAACAAATTTAAACATTTTTATAAAATATTTCAAATATAAAAATGTATGTATAACTGTGTTAAATATAATTATGATATTTAAATGTTGATAATGATTTGAAACATAGAATTTACAAATACAGACCCATAATACAATGCATTTGTGTTATAAACAAAAATTAATTATCCTCATTGAGGTTTAATAAATAGTTTGAAATTATAAAAAGAATTTAATTCTAAATTTCGGAAATAAATGTGATTATATATATAAAATATATTTTTTTTTTATAGATTATTATAATTATTGTTATACATATATAGTAGATTATATAGATTTTAGTTATATAACACAAATTGTAATGAATTTTGTATGAGATTATTAGATTTAATTAAAATATAAAATTCTGTGAATATTAGAATTTAGAAATATTTGAAAAATGAAAAAATATTAATAATTGTTATTTATTATATTAAATTAATTTTTTTCTCATTTTTTGTTTTTATATATATATAATGTATATTATGTATTTTACGAATCTTTCGAAAATTGCAAAAATTTTATAGCTTTAATGTTTTTAAAAGCATATCCTATATATATACATACCAACACATAGGCAGTTTCACAGTATATAATAATACTAGTAATTTGTACAATTAACGTAAGTCATGAATTTGTACGCGACATGACGTACACGTCATAATATTCAATATACGTTGCCAACGCAACACAACAATTATTATTTATTAAATGATTTTTATATATTGTGGCAAAATGAATAATGAAGAAACAATTTTAATTTTGAAATTTTAAATTTTACATTTTATTGACATAATATTTTTAAATTTCAATTGAAAAAATTGCTTAATCGTTTTACAAAATCAAGTGAATGACGTATTTAATATGATCATAAAATCTTTGGCATACTGGGAAACGGCCATAAAACTTTAAAATAAAAATACTAACTCAAATGGTTGACATTATAATTAGAATTTTTAAGTGTTTTAAATAAATAAGTTTTATGCTTTTTTATTTATATTTATGTAAAAATGTACATGAAATTATATATGTATATGTATATAGATTTATAAGTTGATATATGTAGGTACATACATGTATGAAAAAGAAAAATATTGTGATTTGTTTTTAAAAAATAAAATTTTTTCAATATTTAAGTTTAATGAAATTATTTAAATTGTTTATTCTGTTATGTGGAAGCGCCTTAATAAACAACTCCCTTATTAATTAATTTTTTATATAATACATATTTAAAAATATGGGTACTGGTTTAACATTATATTTATTGCCAATTTCTGAGAAAAAATATTTATAATTTAATAAATCAGTATCTGGTGGTAAATTTTGATATTATATTGTCTACAAGCTAAATATTGTTTACAATGTAACACGTACCTTTAAAGTTTATGTTTTGCAAAACTATCAATTATGTTTTTTCGTTAAAAGGACGCACGCGACATTACATAAATTATGTATAGGTATGTAGCAATACATGATATAAATTATATATGTATATAGAAAGTAAATGTTCTTGGCTACAAAATGCTCAAAACAAGGATATCCAAAAAATTTACAATTAGATGTCTAAACATAAATTAACAATCAATATTCCATTAAAATCAAACGTACGCAATTTCAAACCAAAACTTCTGGCAATTTGGCAATTGAGTACAATGATCAACATTATTATCAAAGGAGTATCGCTCCGTAATAAAACGAACTACAAAATATATTCAAGGCTTCGGTAACGTATTCAATAAAAATTTGGAAAAATACCTATGCAATACATATATGTATATAACGAATTTTCAAAGATTACTAAACAGGGCAAAGCATTTTGAGTACTATTGAAGAACATCAACATATACTCGTATGATACATCAGAATCCAAAAATGCTGCTTCTAAATAGGTTAGTCAAGTTTAAGCTAATAATTAGCTAAATTCACAATTATTCGACTAGTGCTGATATAACCTATTTGAAAGGCTGCCAAAATATTTTGTATAATAAACTAAAATAATTTTCCACTGTAAATTTTAAAACTTTTCAAAACTTATTCGCATATTCCAATAAAATCAACAAACTAATAATTTATTTTTAGAGTAATTTTAAAGTAGAATATAATCAATCAACTTACTAGTTACAAAGTTATTATATTATTATTACGAGGGTCACTATTTATATTTCGGGTCTAGCAATAAAAAACAAACATTTATCATTGGAAATGGTTTTATTGTTTTTCAAAATATTCCCCATGAAGATCAATACACTTTTGCATGCGCTGAAACCAATTTTCGTAGCACTTTTTCCACTTCGATTGAGACACCTCCAAAACATGGTTTTTGAACGCATCGACTGCTTCTTCAGGTGTTGAAAATCGTTGTCCACGCATTTTTTTTTTGATGTGAGGGAATAAGAAGAAGTCATTGGGTGCTAAATCAGGACTGTACGGCGGATGACCCATCAATTCGACATTTTGAGTGCTCAAATAGTCCATTGTTTCAGCTGATTTGTGAGAGCTTGCATTGTCATGATGAAGAATGATTCGCCGGCGCTTGTTTGTTTTCCTTATTTCTTCGAAAACTTTCGGCAAACAGATGGTGGTGTACCATTCAGAATTGACAGTCCTACGTTCCACTACAGGTACTGTGGCCACATGACCGGTTATACCAAAAAAAAACGCGATCATTTGCTTCGATGTGCTTCTTCCACGAACAACTTTTGTTGGATTTGGCTCGTCTTGGAACACCCATACGGTCGATTGCTGTTTCGTTTCGGGCTCATATGCATAGATCCATGATTCATCACCTGTGACTATCTTATAAACGTCTTTTGACGCACCGCGATTGAATTTTTTCAACATTTCTTTGCTCCAATCGACACGAGCCTTCTTTTGAGCAATCGTCAAATTTTTTGGGATCCATCGACAACACACCTTTTTCACGGCAAGATGTTCATGCAATATCTTATGTACGCTGGTGGAACTAATGCCCAAGGATGCCTCAATCTCACAGTATGTCACATGCCGGTCCATCATTATCATTTCGCGCACAGCATCTATGGTTTCCGGCAAAACGACCGAAATTGGCCGACCTTCACGAAATTCATCCTGGAGCGAACGGCGTCCGAAACCAAACTCTTGGTACCAGCGATTTACAGTGGTTTTTGATGGTGCTTCATCACCAAAAGTCGAAACAAGTTGATCGAGACACTCTTGTCTCGATAATCCGCGCCGAAAATCGTAAAAAATCATCGCACGAAAATTTTCAAGGGACAATTCCATTTTTTGACCGAGATGAATTTTTCAAGTCACTGTAAACAAAACAATTCGCGCTCGAATGACAAAACGTTCTGAGTGAAGTTGTCCTAAAAAATGTCAAACTTTCCAATGGAAGTATCAGATTGCACCTGGCAGCACTAGTATTGCCAGGACCTTAAATATAAATAGTGACCCTCGTATTACATAGTCTTGAACTTTTATTAATATTCATTATTAAATTTAGTGAAAATATTATTATTGTAAGAAAACTTTTCCCCTTTTTCCTATATAATTAAAACTTTAATCTTTAAAAAATTCAATGGAAATGTAGGTACTCAACACCATTAGTATTAACAAAATACTGTAGAAAATGTTGAATAAGTAAACAGGTAATAATATTCAGGAAAACAAATTAAAAAAAAAAAAACAATTTTTTTTTGTAATAAAATTAATAAAAAACTTTCCTTCAAAGTTCCTGAATTCTTTTGTTTTGCTTTATTGGAAAGGAACTTGCATATACAATATATATATAAGCAGTATATTTCTAGTGTATAAGCCTCCAAAACTTTCTCCTGAAAAAAAAACTTCATTTAATTTTTATCATGTTCTTCTGATATTTTGTAAATGAAATTAACAATAGAATGAGATAACTACATATATCTAAAATTTTAAAAAAGTAATAATAACAAAATGTAGTATAGTGAGCACAGAGCAAGGAGCATATGAACTGAAAGAATGAGTAAAAAGAAATTAAACTTTATAAGTAAAAGTAATCATTTTGTTTACATATTTTTTTTCTCTCATGCTTATCTTTATCTTTATTATTGTTGTATCCTGCAAAAAACAGAACAACAATTTGGTTATGCGTTTTCCACGTCCTACCCGCCCCGCTCTCTTTTGTTGTTTTTAACTCGGAAGGAAAATTTCACTATTCATTTATTTTTTTTTTACTTCTTCTGCACAGTTTCATCAATTCATTTTATTAAATTTCTTTGCCTTAATATTCTCATTCAAATATGCAAGTTTATATTTTTCTAAGAAGATGTAGCTACACAGATAATCTTTCTTATTCCTTTTAATATTAATAACCATAATCATAATGATGGGGTCATATTACCCCACTTTTTCATTCATTCATTCTCTAATTTAAAGTATGTATACAAGTTTTTTTTCGAAAACTTTTGCTGTTTTTCGAATATTGTTGGTGTAACTGTTTAAAGTCTTACTTCAAATTATTATATTTTTTTTTATTTCCCTTTGTTTTTTTTTCTTTTTGTAAAAGAATTTGAATTAAGTAAACAAGTTGAAAAAAATGCTGTTTACCTGTGCAAACTTTTATTCACCTGAATTCCTTATATTAAGTTAAGCTGACGTTTTATGGTATTTTTTTTTATTTCAAATTAAATTTTCAATATTTAAAATAAGTGTATTATGAAATTGAAATTTAGTGTTAATTCTATAAACAAAATATTATAAACTCATAGTGAAAGATAAAAAGAATTTTATTTCTTATAAAATTAGAGAGAATTCTCTAAACTTAACGAGAGAAAATTGTTAAAAGAGAAAAGGTTTGAAACTTGAATTGAAATGAATAGTTACAAACGTTGGCAATAGTATGAAAATACGAGAACAACGATATATTTTACGTATTTAATTAAGTTCAAGTTGGGGGCGGCCTCCTTAATATTATAAAATAGTAATCCTTATAATATCCTTAATAGGTAAATATTAGTGCACATGCAATTGTAATATGGAGAAGAACTTCGAGACTTAAGAAACAGAA